CAGATGCATGTTGCTGTTTTGTGGGTTTATAAATTGATGATAGCGTAGATCTTCATTGGGTGACAATTCCCAGGCCTAGTGTTCCAGGCCCAGGATTATTTGAAAAGGTGAATGGCTCTTTCAGTCAGCTCCCTGAATTTATCTCCTTGATGACAGAAGTTTATGGAGCTTTTGGCTGTCTCTTTTGCTTAGCCAGTTTAGCAACTTGGAAGCAGGCTGGCTGAGTGACACAGGTCCCAAATGGGTTGTTCTGTGTAGCTTTTTGTTCTCAGAGTTATCTGCTAGATAATAGCAGATATCACTGCTGTGTTCTGCCCTGTGGAAGATGTCAGGTGGGGCAAAATGATTAATGTTCCTAGCTAGTTGCCTGGCTCTCAGTTCATTCTTACACATGACATCGGACTCCTTGTGTCCTGTTTACATGGTCCTCTGCTCATGGGCCTAGTGATGAGCCCTGTGGCCATTGAGCGAATTGTTGGAGTTAGGGAGGTTCTTAGTAATGTTTTAATGGTGGTGTCAATAATAGAATAGTGACTCTTCGCACCTTGATGAGGTTGTAGAAGAAAAGGACTTCTTACTGGGTGTGGTGGTGCACATGCCCGTAATCCCAGCACTCAAGGCTGAGGCTGGAAGATAGTTGAGAGTTTGAGACCAGCTTAGGCTACAAAGTGAGCTCAAGGCCAGCCTGAACTGCATAGCAAGACCCTGTCTCAAAAAGGAAGAAAAAAAAGGAAAGATTTTACTCTTCAAAAAAAGGAAAGGAATGGTAAAGATTTCTCATATTTCCACCCTCATTGTCTGTCTGTTACAGGTCTTATACAGAGTCTGGAGAATCAGAAACATTTTCTCCAGTGACTGGAATATACTGGTGTGAAAAGTTCATCTCTCCTTTAACTGGAGGAAACATAACCTATATGTATTAGGCACTTTGACTTAGGGGTCTGTAGTCTGAGTAGGAGCTCCAAGCATTTTGCTGAAGCTCCAATATGCAGCTCTTGTCTTTCTGGCTCAAGTCCCTTTCTGGGCTTGCTTTTTATAAGGACCATACTATTTTTTTACCTGTTAACGGGGAAAATGCATGAATGTTGGAAGTTTGAACAACAAGCTTTAAAAAAACTTGATGTAATTTACATACCATAAAATTCACCCTTTTTTGTTTATTTTTCAGTTTTTTCTTGGGTGATGCTGGGGATAGAACCCAGGGTCTTAAGCACACCAGGCAAACACTGTGCTGCTGGGCCACATTCCAGTCCAAAGTTCCCTCCTTAAAGTGTGCACTTCAGTGTTTTTAGTGTGTTCATAAAATTGTGCAATCCACAGCATTGTGTAATGTGAGGACATTTTCATGACCTGAAAGGTATTTTTGAATTTTATTTTTTTTAAAAGGAATTTTTGTACCCAATTGCAACCTGTCCCTGTCCCCTCCGCAGCATACCTTCTGACAACCACTAATCTACTTTCGGCTTTATAAATTTGCCTGTCTGAACATTTGATACAAATACAGTCATACAATATGTGGCCTTGTGTAGCTCTTCTTTGTGTTTTGTTTTGTTTCACTGGGAATTGAACTCAGGACCTCAAGCTTGCCAGGCAGACACTGTGCCGCTGAGCCACAACCCTGGCCCCGCCCCGTAGCTCTTCTTTCATTCACTTAGTCATAGTTTCAGGGTTCATCCACATTGTAGCATGTATCAGTACTTCATTGTTTTTTCTTCTACTGTCAAGAAAATATTACTTGATACTTTTTTCAAGTCAGTAATTTTTTTTTTTTTACATTTCTACCAAAAATGTTATTAGGTAGAATGAAATTTGTATTATTTCCAGAGGAAATATATTTTCACTTCAGCTTCTCTGCTTGTTAATTGGTATATGGGGTGTGTGTCTGTGTGTGTGTGCGTGCGCGCACACACATTGTAGAAGTGTCACTTGACTATAAGCATGTTGAGGACTGAATACTAGTAAAATACTTTGGAAATATAATACAAAATATTACAAATTCTATAACTTGAAAATCATTTTCCTACTTCTTTAGAGTAAAAGGAATGTGATTATATGGACATGCTTTTCATTCCCCCAGCCAAACATTAGGTAAAATAAATTTAAATAGATTACCATTAATTTAAGTAAAATCTGAAATCATAACCATTTTTCCTTATTGAAAAATTAATTGAAATGATTCAGGGTGCATTTTCCAATTTCTTCTAAGTACAAGTTTTACCTATTTTCCAACCAATCAGAACAAATCAGTAGGGACATAGAATACTTCATAACTAAATTGAACAAATGCTAGGTCAGTACACATTATTTCAGTACCATGCATATTATTTTATAATAGTGGGAATATGTAATCTTGCTGTAATGTTTTAAGCCCTTTCCAGAGTTTATTGAGCAAAGATTTAGCAAGACTATAAAGGAGGCAGTGGTACAATCCTGACAAACAGTTAAAACAAAAATAAGAGTTTCTAGGGGCTGGGGATTTAGCTCAGCGGCATAAGCACCTGCCTTGCAAGCAGGCAGTCGTGAGTTCGATCCCTGGTACCAATAAAAAGGAAAAAGACAAAAAAAAAAAAAAAAAAAAAAAAAAAAGAGTTTCTGAAAAAATCAGATCAAAGTAAGGACACATTTAAGAATTGACCTAGGTTGGGCATGGTGACGTACATCTATATGGTACTCTTAGCACTCTAGGAGGCTGGGGCAGGAGGATTGCAAATTTGAGCCCAGCGTAGGTAAGTTAAGGACAGTGAGATCCTGTCTGAAAAACATAAAAAGTGCTGGAGATGTAGTTTAACAAAAAGGCCCTGCATTCAAATCCCAGGAAACACTCTTTCCCCATGCAAAGCCCTACAGGTGGGAATAACAGAGGTATAATGATGTAGTGGGTGGAAGTGGGTTCGTTTTAGATCCACAGTGATCCTTGAAAGTCTCATGTGTTTACTGTTAGGGCTTTTTGGAAGATTATTGGATCATGGACACACTTAAGGCGCAATCAAACAAATATGGTGAATGTTTAAAAGAAAAAAAAGTATTACTGTAAAAGACATATTGCCAAGAATGATGGGTAGGCATATTCAAACCCAGGAGGTGTTTTGAGAATCTTGAGGGGGGTTAATGAGTGATGTTTCTTTATTATGGTGTATCCTTATGACCATTTTCATGCGAGCTGGTACAATTTGGTGTCTCCCTCCTCCCCAAATTCAAAATGATTAGTAAAGGTAAATGTTTTAATGACATGGAGGCTGCACAGCTAAAGACACTCATGAAGAGGACTCCCAGAACTACTTCAGAAATTGGCAAAAATCATGGGAGTGTCATTTGTTTGAAACAAGAGGGAGTATGTTGGGGTATTAATGGCAATGTATTTTTTACTGTAATAAAAAAAATTTTTTTTGTCTTTCTCGTTTTTATCAGTACCAGGGATTGAACTCATGACCGCACACTTGCAAGGCAGGCGCTTATGATGCTGAGCTAAATCCTCAGCCCCTGTAATAAAAATGTTTTAAAGTTTAAACATTCACCCATATGTTCTGGTCGAACTTTAAGTACTCATCAGAGAATCTGCTGATGAGTTTGTAGCTGAATGTGCTGTAGGAAGTTGGGGCCTGGTCAGAAGGTCGAGGAGGTGAGGCACTGGGTTGTGACCTGGGAGGGTGTATTTTTGTTCCTGGCTCCTCCTTTCTCTCTCTGCTCTCTGGCTGCTGTGGGTTGAGCAGCTTTCTTCCACTTGTTCTTCCATTGTGCTGTTTTTATCTTAGTCAGCCTGCCACTCAGACTGAACCCTCTGAAACCTTGAATCAAAATAAACTACTACTCCTTTAATTTTTGGGTTCAGTATTTTGTCCAGCAATGGGAAAGTGACTGATAGTAGTCCTTTTCATGGCTGAATAATATTTAGTGTATGAATATACGTGACAGTGTATTTATAAATTCACTAGTTGATGGGCATTTGGTTTATGTCCACTTTTTAGCTGTTAAAGTACATACAAGTTTTATTTGTGTATAGTTTTCAAATCTGTTGAGTACCTAGGAGTAGAATTACTGAGTATTATGGTAACTCTGTGAGACTTTCCTAGAGTGGCTGTACCATTTTTACATTTCATAATTTCTCTTGCTTCCTTGCCACTATTTGTTACTGTCCTATTGGTCATGGCCATCCCAATAGACAAAGTGATGTCTCATTGTAGGTTTGATGTATATTTCTCTAGTGCAGTGATGTTGAGTATAATTTTGTGTGCTTATTGGTCATTAGCCTATCTTTGTCTATGCAAATTTTTTGCTTTTTTTTTTTTTTTTTCTTTTTGTCTTTTTCCTTTTTATTGGTACCGGGGATCGAACTCACGACTGCCTGCTTGCAAGGCAGGCGCTTATGCCGCTGAGTTAAATCCCCAGCCCCTGCTTTTTTTTTAATTGGGCTGTCTTCATTGTTGAGTTGTAAGAATTCTTTATATATTCTGAACTTGACGCCCTTACTAAATATATGATGTATAAAAATTTTTACAGTTTTAGATCTTTTATAAGCATGAATTTATGACTGATTTATACAGATTGAGGTTTTACAAGCTCCTCTGAGCTGTTTGCTAAGGATGGGAGGTAATGCTGGATCTCTTGTCCCAAGGCTTCTTTCCTTCCTATCTGACAAACCCATTAAGGATCTTGACCCTCAGATGCAAGCATTTTCTTCCTCTTCCTCTTCTTCCTCCTTTTTACATGCTAGAGATTGAACTCAGGACCTTGTACATCTAGCAGGTGTTTAATCATTGAGTTACAGTCTCAGCCCTTAAAAGGGGGGAAAAAACTTAAAAAAAAATTTTTTTTTGAGACAGGGTCTGGCTAAGTTGCTAAACCTGGGCTTGAAGTTGCAATCCTCTTGTCTCAGCCTCCTGATCATTGGGATTGTACGCGTGTGCCACTGCACTGGGCTCTGTTGTCCTCTTTATAGGTGTTTGTAGCAGTTCTACAGTTTCCATATTTCATTGTCGTCTTTTCTTTTTTTGTTTTTGAAGGTAACAAATGAAGATGACTTTATTAGGAAATTGGACTGTAAACCTGATCAGCATCTGAAGGTGGTTTCCATTTTTGGAAATACTGGTGATGGAAAGTCTCATACCCTCAACCACACTTTCTTTTATGGCCGTGAAGTCTTCAAAACCTCCCCTGCCCAGGAGTCCTGCACTGTGGGTGTGTGGGCAGCCTATGACCCAGTCCACAGAGTAGCAGTGATAGACACGGAAGGGCTCTTGGGGGCTACCGTGAATCTAAGCCAGAGAACACGGCTGCTACTTAAGGTCCTGGCCATTTCAGACATCATCATCTATCGAACTCATGCAGATCGCCTGCATAATGACCTCTTCAAGTTCCTTGGAGATGCCTCGGAAGCTTATCTGAAGCACTTCACCAAGGAGCTTAAGGCTACCACTGCCCGCTGCGGCCTGGATGTCCCCTTATCCACTCTGGGCCCTGCAGTTATTATTTTCCATGAGACTGTGCACACTCAGCTGCTCGGCTCTGGTGAGTAGACAGGGTGCCGAGCCCCAGATTGTCCTTTCTGGGTGCAAAGGGGTTCACTGGGCTGTAGTGACAACTAGGTGGACGTGGATTGAGAAAAACTTTTTCTCAGAAAGGGAAAGAAGAAGAGTGAAATGTTCAACCATGTTGAAGATTGAGAATTGCTATTGTCTTTGGGAACAGAGGGCCTAGGTGATCTGGCTAATACCTGTTTCCTTGGGGCTGAGGATGGAAGCTTGGTCAGAATGAGAATAAGAGCAGATAGTGGCAGAATTAAGCCTCTGAGTATATTGAACTCTTTTGGGGAGTTCTGTAATTTTCCTTTTTAAAATTTAAGATGGTGAGTATTGCAGTTACTTGTGTATTGATGAAAATGAATTATTAACAACAGACTGATACAAGCCGGGCATGGTGGCACATGCCTGTAATCCCAGCACTCGGGAGGCTGAGGCAGGAGGATCATTTCAAGTTCGAGACCAGCCTGGGCTAGAAAGTGAGCTCAAGGCCAGCCTAAACTGCGTAGTGAGACCCTGTCTCAAAATACAAAACAAAACAAAACTAAAGAAAAATAAAGCAATACAAATATAAGAGAGAGCAGTGCGTAGGTGGTGTAGTAGGCTGTAGAAGCACAGACAGTTCATCTGTGTCAACAGGAGAGAAGATGGAGTGTAGGGATATAGCTGCAGGTAAGCAGGCAGGGGTGTGTATGCGTGCATTAGTGTGTCTGTAAGTTCATGTCTTACTGTTTCTGTTTGCTTAGAGGAATGGGGTGCAAGGTCATCACCTGTGTGGGAAGATGAGGGAGCAGGGGGCAATAGTGTTTGGATGCAGGAAGAACAGCAGTATTTGGCCCCTAAAACAGTTCCATCTTTCACCAGTCAACAAAGTTTACTGAGTGTACGGCATGTTTTGAGCACTGGGGCACAGAAGTGAAGAAAGGGTTCCCATCCTTAAGAGCCCGCAGTCGAACTGGGACGATGACCTGGTGTTCTGTTCTGAGCAGATCTAGTCCTGGAGCTGTGGGAGTGTAGAGGAGGGACTCTGCACCTCCTGTTGGGATCTCGGGAGGAGGACTAATGTTTGCACTATGAGTTTGGCTACTGAAAGGTGTGGGGAAGAGTGATGTTCTGGGAATAGCAGGTCCTCTGGTGGCACCCTAATCTCCATTCGTACCCCTTCACTGCCTCCCCTTCACCTGTGCATGTTTATGCATGTGTGCTTGAGCACATGCACATGGGTGTACATGTTCCCCAGTGACTACCCTGCCTTTTCATAGTTTCCACTTTTGTATATGCTACTGTTTGTCTGGATCGTACATCTTTCAGATTCACCTCAAAGGAAGAAAAGTTTCTACAGTATTGGCCCACAGTTCCAGAGCTTTCAGTCCATGATTGGCTGAACACAAGGCAGACATGGAGTGAATGGCAGAAGAGGATGGTAGAGGAGCGCTTTCATCTCAGGAGAACCAGCAAGCTGAGAGACAGGGAAAGAGCCAGACCAATGATACCGCTACCTCCAACTAGACTCACTTGTTAATAGCCCATTTAGCCCAGAACTGATCAAGAATTAATCCACTGCTGATGATAGTGTCCTGACAGTACAGTCACCTGCATTTCTTAGTCTCAGCAAGTTGGCAGTCAATACTAATGGTCACACCTATTTTATGCTTAATTTGTTGTTGGTTTTTTCCCAGAAGAATAAAAACATGAAGGCAAGAACATTGATTGTCTTATTCACTACTGTATATAAAGAGTCCAAATGAATGTTTTGACACACAGTTGTGTGCTGAGTGAATAAATGAGGTTCTGAGTGCCTAAAGTGTAGCTTGTGGAAGAGAGGATGGTGGAAATACTCAGGTATCAGATCATGGATGGCCTTGACTTAGTTCTTAAGCATGATAGGAGCCCCAAAGGATCTTCAGCAGAGAGTTATATGATCACATTTATATTTTCAAAACATAGTGTAGCAGCCAGTTTTAAGTGAATTAGAGGCATCTGCCTGGAGGTGGAGAGACTAGTGAGCAAGTTTTCATGGTACTGGGTTACCAAGTAAAGGTAAGGATAGGTCCAGGGCAGTGGCAGGACAAGAGCGGGGAACAGACTAGTCCATAAAATAGCTTGTTCTGATGGATGTGGACTAGTCCATCGCGCTGGTCCCCATGACTCATGACCTGTGGGAAGATGGAGAATTCTAAATGTTCCATACTAGATAAGGAGACTCATTAGCAAGTCCTTGTAAGGTGCAGAGAGAAGGTGAGAAATGCTGATTTAGGACGCCCTGTGAGCAGTACTTCAGTGCCACTTTAGAGTTTTACAACTTTGAAGGGAAGGTTTAGGTTTTGAAATAATCAGCTCCTCAGAACTGAGTATTTATTTATCTTGTGCCATGCACTAAAAAAAGTTAGCATTTATTTTTAAAAACACATAGCAGGCTAGGTGTAGTGGCACACTCATATAATCCCAGCACTTGGGAGGCTGAAGCAGGAGGTTGGCCATGAGTTCGAAGCCAGCCTGGGCTACAAGAAAGTGAGTTCAAGGCAAGCCTACACTACATAGTAAGATCCTGCCTCAAACAAATCAAAACAAAACAAAACCCAACACATAGTACATGCGTATTTATTTTTTTTAGTACTTTTTTTTTTTTTACTTAAGGAGAAAAAGAAAAAAAAGGGTACAAGTTGTACAGAATTTCAGAAAAAAGAAATAGTAGGAAATCACTAGTTAATAGATTACATATTGTTATCTTAGAAATAGTTGTTCAAGTTACAAAATTAAAGCATATAAAGTGGACTTCCAAACAGTGAGACTGGAAATAGTTTTGTTCAATGATCCAACAAAACTCAATAATATGGTTATCTATCTTATACACTTAAATATATATGTAGTTATATTCTTTAGAGCGCTTTCTTTTCCTTTCTTTTGTACAGTGACAATTACACATTTTGGGTTTTGTTACTCCCACAGTTCTTATTACTTTTTTTTTGAAGAGGGTAAAACCAAATGTGACATAACAGAACAGAGTCAGTCAAATCAAAAGGATGGACATAATAGATAATGTAAAAACAAAATACCAGGTGATCAACAATGGTTACCATAATGCCTCTTGCTATCTGAAGAATTGCCTATATCATCAGTTATAATAAAATTGAACAAAACAGTAAGGAGTAAAACCAAAACATTGAGACATTAGAGGACTTCAAAAGAAGATAATAGTCAACCAGAATGGGTGTCATAATGAATCTTATTGTCTTTACAGTTTTGCCTATACTTTCGAACTTGGTACTATCAAGCAAAGCAGAGTAGAGGAAAATCAGTCAAAGCAAAATGGTGAGGGCTATACAGGGTTTCAAATCAAGTTAATAGGAAATCAAAGTGGGTTACTATAATGTATTCTGCTATTTTATTTTTCCCTTAATTAAAAGGTAAAAATAAAAAAGTAATTTAAAAAAAGGAGACTGAGATAAAAGAGTGCATAACAACAAAACAGCATAGGTCAAAGCATAACCATTTAAGCAAAATAGTGTTTCACCACAAGATACCCTGACTTAAAAGTAGTTACTCTAGTGTCTCTTTCCTTGAAATCTTTGAGTGTAACTTCGTATACTGTAGCACCAAACCTATCAAGACAATGTAAAATGATTCAAGAGAATGACAGTATTACTGGGTATTTAGAACCACCTATCAGAAAATGAATAATGGTTTCTGTATAATCTCCTTGTCTATAAAGGTTTTTGCTTATATTATCACATATAATCCAATAAGATACAACCTGTTAAGACCGATGGAGATAGAAGAATAAAAGCTTGATGGGACTTCAAAGCAAGATGATACTAAATCAGCACTAGCTATTATGATGTCTTGTTTTCTCTAAAATAGCTGTTCCTACCATCCAACCTTCTCTGCCTCATTTCTGTTGAGCTCTTTTTCTGTTGTTTGTTGTCAGTTTGTCTTCTTCATTTCGCTTTCTGCTCCATTCATTGTGGCCTCTCTGCCGCTGTTTCTGGAATCTTGGTATTTTCCTGTTTCAGAATATCCTGCAGTTTTCTCTGTAGAGTTGAATTGGTGGTTGCAAATTCCCCTAGTTCCTCTTTATCCTGGAAGCACCTTGTTTTTCCATCAATTTCTAGGGACAGTTGTGCAGGATATATCAATCTTGTCTGGAGGTTGTTATCTTTCAAAGCTTGAATTCTTTCCCCCCACACTCTTTGTGATTTGATGGTTTGTGCCGAGAAGTCTGCTGTAATTCTGATGGGTGTTCCTTTGTAAGTGATCTGTTTCTTGTCTCTGACGGCTTTTAACATTCTGTTCTTATATTGGATTTCTAGAATTTTGATTATTATATGCCTGGGTATAGCTCTGTTTGGGTTGTTGGTGTCTGGGGTCCTGTATGCCTCATACATCTGAGTATCTTTAACTTTTGCTAAATTAGGGAAATTCTGCTGGATTATTTCTGTGAGTAGCCTTTGTAGTTCGTCTGTTTGTGTCCCTACTTCTTCCTTTACGTTCTTAATTCTTAAGTTATAGCCTTATCATCTTCTAGCCTTTGTATTATTGCTGTTTTTTTGTTATTTTTAAGAAGTTTTTCATTTCATGCTCCCATATTACAAATCTGCCCTCCAATTCAGATAATGTATCCTTAGTTTCTTTCAAGCTGTTATGCCAGCTTTCGATAGAGTTTTTAGTTTCCTGGTAATCTCTTTGAACCTGCTTCATGTGTTCTATGTTTTCTCTATTTTCTCTGTCAAACAATTCTCCCCTTTTTTTCTGTTCTTCCATTCCACCATCTGTTTTTTCTTGGGCGGTGCTTAGCATTTCTCTAACCATTCTACTTATATCTTGCTTTATTTCGTTAAATACTTCATTTTTAAACTCATCTATGAGGCTCTGGAGATATTGCTTTATGTCTGTTGGTGCTGTGTTTGATGTTTTCTGTCCTCCTTTGCGTTTCCCTTTCCTGGATCAGTGTTCTCAGGATTGGGGACTGAGGACCCTTTCTTGTTGCTTCCTCTTCCCATTCTTTTTGTTCCTTCCATACAAGCGAATATAGGAGGCCCAATTTTTTTCTCTTGGTTTCCGTTTTAGTTTGTTTGAATTGTGCTGGCTAGGTGTTGGCACCCACTGCAGTGTACTAGGGAGACACAGACCTAGGCAGCCTCTGCTGGGCCCGCCTCTCCAGGTCAACCTACCGAAGGTTTCACTGCTAGGGTGCACCTCCAGGCGCTGGGACCTGGTTTGGGCTCGCCTACTGGGTCTTAGTCAGTGGCGTCATGCAGGCTAGGCACTCCCCACTAATCCTGCTTGAGAGGGGAATATGTGGCTAATGTCACTGCAGCATCCTGTTCTGGCAAGTCTGCCCGGTCCCAGTATGTCCTTTGCTAGAGCCTCCTACTCTATGAAAGGGTTCCCATTCCGCTCACTCACCGCAAGTCGACGTAGGCTCCCTGCTAGCCCTGCTCTCAATTCCGTGCGCAGATTCCCACTCTCAGAGCTTTCGCGCATCTCTCTCCCTGCCATGCAGATTTGGATGCAGCAGCGGCAGCAGGACATTCAAATTGCGGCTTCCAGTGACGCGGGTTCTAGCTTCTGCGCTGAGATTTTATCCGTTCCTGTTATAGCACCAGGATTTGATTTCCAGTTAGTTTCTCTTAGCTTAGTTCATTCCTGGGTTGGCAGGGTGTATCTCCCCTTGCTTAGGACTCCTTGTACAGCACCATTCCTAGATTTTAAGTGGGGTATCTCAGAGAGCCTCCATAGCTGCTGCTATCTATCTACCATGTTCTTCCAGAAGTCTTAGTACATGTTTTTACTGCATAATGATTACATTTATCATTTGGTGCATGTGCATAACACATCTTTTAATCATTTAACTTTTTTGAGACACAGTCTCACTATACAGCTCAGACTGGCCTTAAACTCACTAGGTAGTCCAGGATGGCCTCTAACTTGCAGCAATTCTCTTGCCTCAGCCTCCTGAGTGCTGAGATTACAGGCATGTGCCACCACGCCCATATTTTAATCATTTAAATTTTTTTTTTTTGTCTTTTTCATTTTTATCGGTACCGGGGATCGAACTCACGACCGCCTGCTTGCAAGGGAGGTGCTTATGCCGCTGAGCTAAACCCCCAGCCCCAATCATTTAAATTTTTAAAGTCTTTTCCACCTCTTGCCTGCCTTCCTTCCACCTCTTGGTTCACTTCTCATTTGCGAAAAGATCTATTTGCCTGTTTTCCATCTTTCTTTTACTTTGTACTTTATTTCTACTTCGGGTTTCTCGTATAAGAGAAACCATGTGGTAGCTAAGTGGTATGTCTGATTTGTTTCACTTAAATTACGGTCTCAAGGTATATCCATTTTCCTACAGGAGACTTAAATTTGTCCTGTATAGCAGAGTATTACCACATTGTATATAAATAAATTTTCTGTTACACATTCTTCTGTTGATGGACATATAGGATGCTTCCAAGACTCAGCATTATGAATTGTGCTGTTATAAACATGGGTATACATATATCTTAGTAATATGATATCTTTTTAACTCTTGGGGAAGATAATACACCTCAAAGAAGAATAGCTGACTGGAGTGGAATGAGGTTTTTCTTTTTTCCCAATTTTGAGATGGATTCTCACTGTGTAGTTCAGGGTGGCCTTGAACTTGTGGCAGTCTTCCTGCTTCAGCCTCCTCAGTGCTGGGATTACAGGCATACACCATCATGCCTGGCTGGTGTTAGTTTTTTGGGGAACCTGCATAGTGATTTCCGTTATGGTTTACTAGTTTACATTCCCACCAATGATATAGAAGGGTTCCTTTCTCCTTGCAGCAGCTGCAGCATTTGTTATTTCATTTCTTGATGGTGACCATTCTTTCTGGAGTAAGGTGGAGTTTAACTGTATCCAGCCTACTCAGTTAGCAGTTCTGTTTCACAGGTAAAGATGCTGAACTCAGATAACTCTTATATTATGTGACCAAGAAAGTTATAGCAAAAGTGGGATTTGTACCCACTTGTTCAGAACTTACATCAAAACTTATTCTAGGATACTGTTACAGTTTAAGATGGAACTAGGATGGCCAGATTTTATGCAGGATAGGGGCAACAGAGAAATAGGTAAATTGATGGATTTTTACTGTGTCATAGTATTTCTGATTTTCTGTTTGATTTTCTTTTATGGATATGAATTTGCTAGGTAGGAGGTCAGTAGCAAAATGAATTATAGGTTGAGTATTCTGTGTCTGAAATGCCTACGACCATAAGTGTGTCAGATTTTGGATTGTGGTGTAGATTTTACTGGTGGAATATTCTTAATCCTAAACTCCAAAGTCTGATGCTCAAAAAAAGTTTCATATTTTCGAGCATTTCAGGTTTCTAATTTTTACTTTAGGGATGTTCAGCCTGTTTTTGTGTTTTTTTTTTAAATCACCCTCGTCTCCTTTCTTTCTTGCTGGCTTGCTTTTCTTACTCTTTTACAAATGAGCATAAACAAGTCATTTTGGTGCAGTGATTGTAAGTCCAGGGACGAGCTCTGGGGTAGTGTTTGAAGGAAATAAGGTACCCGAGGCTGGGCTCCTGGTGGCTGTGGGAGAAGCCAGTGACTGAAGGCCACTTTACCTGCTTCTGAGTTCTGGAGGGTGCTGAATGAACTGGGAGGCTTACATACCTAGTGACCGAGGCAGGAGATTTACGAGTTCGAGGCCAGACTGAGTAATTTAGCAAGATTTTTTTTTTTTTTTTGAGACTGTTAAAATTCAAAACAAGTAAAAAGATCTGGGCATGTAATTCAGTAGTAAAGTGCCCCCTGAGTTCTGTCTCAGTAGTGCCAAAAAAACAAAACAACCCCAGAAAACAAAGCAAAGTGAGTACAGGGAATAGTTGCAGTTATGGCTATTTTAGTGGCTGTTCCTTTTATTTTATTTATTATATTTTGTCTTTTTGAGACACGGCCTCGCTATGCAGTTCAGGCTGCCCTTGAGCTCATTTTGTAGCCCAGTCTGGTCTTGAACTTGCAGCAAACCTCATGGCTCAACATCCTGAGTGCTGGGATTACAGGCATGTTCAACCATGTGGCCGTTCCTTTAAATCTGAACTGATATCTTCAGTGTACATTGCAGTATTTTATTGTTAAAATATAAGAGATTAAAATAAAAAGTTTTTTCCTAACCTTTACCCCCAAACATTGAATGTGTCTTCCACATGCACTGACATTACTGGATTCCAGGCACAAGACCTTCCTTCATACAGCTTCATCAGACTGGAGCAACATTTTCAAAGTACAGAATTGTGAATGCTCAGCAGTAAGAGCTAGTTAAATGTATCCACAAGCGGTAAGAAAGCAGGTTTCAGGCTGCACATTGTGTGGCCACACAAAGTCTGAAAAGGCGAGCAGTAAACTGTGGGACTAGGAGGGAAAAGAGGCCATACTTGTCTTAATGCTTTGATATATCCACATTTTTACTTTATTTTGTAAAATTTTTGAGGTAACATCTCACTGTGTAGTCCAGGCTGGCCTTGAACTCACAGGGATCCTCCTGCATCAGGCTCTTGAGTGCTGAGAGTATTTTGCTGTGCCACATGCCTTGCTGACATGCCTAGATTTTTTAACAATGGGCACTTTAAAAAAATCTTTTCCTTGATGTATAGTGGACACATAGGAAAGGGTACATCATGATGAAGCGTGTAACATGGGTTTTCGCAACCTGGAGGAAGATACTTTTGTGTAATCCACAGCAGACCTCAAAACATCTACACCCTCCTCACAGGAGCCTTCCTTCTCCTTTCCAGACAAGGTTAATCTCTTAGTTGAGTGTGTGTATTTTTTGTATAAGGAGTAGACAGTGTCCTACTGTGGTTTTTTTTTTGTGTGTGTGTGTGTGTGGGGGTTGTTTAGGGGACAACATCTCACTCTATAGTTCAGACTGGCCTTCAGCTCTCATCAGTCCTCCTGCCTCAGCTTCCAAGTACTAGGGTTATAGGCTTGCACCCCCACTCCCAGCTGCCCTACTTTTTAAATGGAAGATAGGCAACTTTTAAAAAAAATGCAGTCACTCCTCACATGCCTGTTTCTGCCTGTACAGATCACTCTTCCGACGTGCCGGAGAAGCTTATCCAGGACCGGTTCAGGAAGCTGGGCCGCTTCCCTGAAGCCTTTAGTTCCATTCACTACAAGGGAACGAGGACTTACAACCCCCCCACAGACTTCTCTGGGCTCCGGCGTGCTTTGGAGCAGCAGCTAGAGAACAATACCACCCGTTCCCCCCGGCACCCGGGGGTCATCTTCAAAGCCCTGAAGGTCAGTGCCTGGTGTCGCAGAGATTTCTCATGGGGATCCCAGTGGTGGGGAGAACACTCTGTCCTTGAGCTCCTTTGGTGCTGGTGATGGGAAGGCTGGGCTGAAAGAGATATTAAAGCAGGAAGGCGTACATGAACAGAACTGTACCTGTCATCTTCCTTCAGCTTGCTGGGAGTTTGTGTACAAAGGAATCTTTTGAGTTACAGTAAAAGAAGCCAGTAACGCCTTGTCTTGGAGAAAAAAAACTAAGTTTTTGGTGAACAGGAAAAAGTGTTTTTGTGTAATTGGCCTTCTTAGTGAGTTAAACTCATGTTCAGACCCAAGTTGACTATCTGGCATGACCTCTGTGATTTTACTTCATTTTTTTTTTTGAAACAGGGTCTCTCTATGCAGTTCAGGCTGGCCTTGAGCTCACTTTGTAGCCCAGGCTGATCTCGAACTCATAACCGTCCTCCTGCCTCAGCCTCCCGAGTGCTGGGATTACAGGTGTGATTTGCTTCTTTTTTTTTTTTTTTAACCTATCTAAATGTTCTTTTCTGTTGCTCAACACATTGCTGGAGACTGGGTCATCAGTAAAGAATAAAAGTTTGTTCAGCAGTTGTGTGGGCAGGGAAGCCCAAGAGCTGGGTGCTTGCATCTGCTCAGCACCCTCCTGGCTGCATCGTGTTGTGGTGGAGGGCATTGCCAGCAACATGGAAAAAGTATCCAGAGAGAGCAAGGCCACTCCTTGTGTCACCCGTTTTTCTGTGGGTGGACAGCTCCTGAGGGCACAACCTTCACCACCCACTCACTGTGCCCCGCTTCCCCCTACATAAAAGGTCCCATCTTCACAGACACCTGACATAATAAGAGTTTGAGGCTTATTTTCCAATACATGAAATTTATATTTTCAAATAGTAGCATTATCTATGTTAACTTATCTAAGAAGGAAAATTGTTATCAATATAAATGAAAAACTTGTATAATAGGTAGAAAATTATCAAAAAAGGGCTGGGGATTTAGCTCATAAGTGCCTGCCTTGCAAGCAGGCAGTCGTGAGTTTGATCCCTGGTACCGATAAAAAGGAAAAAGACAAAAAAAAAAAAAAATTATCAAAACAAAATCCCCAGTCACAGGATAGGAGTTATTACTTGTTATTTACTGAAATTCAGAACATTATGAATGGATTAATCCTTGCATGACTCCATGAGTTAACTATTTTCCTGTGCTGGTCGTGGTGGCATGTGCCTGTAGTCCTAGCACTCTGGAGGCTGAGGCAGGAGAGTTGCTGCTAGTTCAAGTCCAGGTTGTGATACATAGTAAGTTTAAGGCCAGCCTGAACTACACAGTGAGACCCTGTTTCAAAAAGCCTAAAGAAAAAAACAAAACAAAAAAGGAATATTCTTCTCATTTTGAAGATAGCCTGGGGCACAGATTGATAAAGTCATGTTTTAGTTACTAGGTGACAGAAGGCACAAATACTGACATTTTACTCCAGAGCTCCTCATAATCAGGAAGATCCTGTTGCCTCTGAGCAAATAAAATAATATTCTTTTTCAGTGAGAGACTATATAACTTGGCTATATAATAAACACTTTGTTTCTTAAGTATGCTGTCATTTAATCCTTGATTTTTTTGGGTCTGGTAATACACATCTGTCACCCCAGTACTCAGGAAGCTGAGGCAGGAGGATTGCTTCGGCTTTGAGGCCAGTCTGGGCTACGTAAGTAGTAGGTTCAAGGCCAGTTGGCCTGTCTGAGCTACATAGTGAGACCCTGCCGCAAAAAAAAAACCAAATTGTGTGTTAGATAATAATCTGTGATTTGTTTTTGTTTTTGTTTGCACTGGGGATCAAACTCATGATAATATACTTGCCAGACAGCGGAGTTAAAAATCCCTGGCCCAATATTCAGTGATTTTTTAAAAAATTTTTTAAAAAATCATTTTTAGTTTATATTTACCTGCATAGTTGTCTTTATTGGTTTTTAATTTTTAGTATCTATCTCTTTTTTTGATACTGGGGGTTAAATTCACAATCTTGTGCTTGCTAGGCGGGCTAAATCTCCAGCCCATTCAGTGATTTTTGACTATTAATAATATGGAAAAAGTGAAAAATTATATTTGAATAATTCATAAAATACTTTCTTCTAGTTAGAATTTGAGGTTAAACTATACTCAGCTCATGTTCTTGTAATGGCTCAAAGGTAGGCGAGATGGAAGATTACATATAAGTAATGCAAACATTCTCCTAAGAAGCTAAGTCCATGCTGTGGTTGGTTAGAAGTCTGATTATGAAATGAAACCCATTTAATGTTTTAAATTCACCAGGACACGGCATTGTAAGTAGTGGTCACAGCTCAGAAATTTTCTTCTTGAGAGTCTTTGATGACCTACTTCAGGCCAGTTTGTTAGGTGTTTTTGAGAAAACTAGTTAACCTGTATTCTTGGAGGTAATTTATGAAGCTTTATGTCATTAAGACGGAGCTGGTCAGCTGAGTTCTCATGATTCTTAGTAACTGGTATTCCTAGAATTTCACTGGGACCTGTTAGTTTCTGTTTCCTGAGGTATTTGGGACCCTGTGTATGGGAAAGAGTGAGTCATTTAAGTATGTGGTTTGGATTCTCCCCAGGAAATTGTGCACTTCTTGCAACTTACAAAAATTTTTGAAAAAAAAATCATTTTTGCCCATTTTTGTTTTGGCTGTAACATGGCTGTAACAGAAAGCCTATCTCTAAGACTTGCATTAGGCACACTGACTACATAAGAGTTTTATTGTTAAAATCAGCTCTAAGCGAAGTCTTACATTCATAGCACTGTAATGTAGTGGTTACCTGTTCATTTGTTGTATACTTGTATCAGTCAAGTTTCTTGCTGTTTGGACAAAATACCTAAAACTGCAACTTTAAGGAGGAGAAGTTTATTTTGCTTATTATTTCAGTCCCTTATCAGCTCACAATATGTGGGTCATTCATTTTCATGTAATTAATATACTTTTGTTACATTTTCTTTTGGTGCTGGAGATTGAACTCATGACCTTGTGCTTGCCAGGAAGGCCTTGTGCCACTGAACTAAATCCCCAGCCCCCCTTTTTTTTCCTTAGTACTAGAGATTGAACTCATGACCACATGATTGCCAGGCAGGCGTTTGTGCCACTGAACTGTATCACCAGCTTATTAATATACTTTTAAAGATTGTTAGTCATTCTTTTTCTTTTTTTTTTCTTGTGAAGTTCTACTTGGTGACCCAGCACTATTGTTTTGCCTTTTATTTATTTATTTTTTTTGTACTAGGGATCTAACTCATGACCTTGTGCTTGCCAGGCAGGCGCTTATGCTATTGAGCTAAATCCCCAGCCAACACTATTGGTTTCGAAGGGAGTCCATCAGTTACTATTTGTTGAATAGAAAGAGTGGATTTTCTTTTTTATTTTTTTTTTGAGACAAGGTCTCATTTTGAGACTCTGTAGTCCAGGTTGTCCTCAGATTACAGTAATTCTCCTGCCTCAGCCTCCCAAGTGTTAGGGTTACAGACAGGTGTTATCATGCCTGGCCAGGAAGGATGGATTTGGAAATCTGATTAATAAGGAGGAGTTTGAAGTGCAGGGATGATCAAAATATATGGTAAATGTTCAAATTAAAAATGTATAACAGTAAAAGACCCATTGCCATTAATCCCCCCAAGTTATATGTACTTAATTTGAACACAGTTATCCTGTAGTTGTTGCTACGTTGTCTCATCCAGGTACTAACCAGACCCTGCTTAGCTTCTGAGATCAGACAAGATTGGGCACATTAAGGGTGGTAGGACTGTAGACAGTTCCTTTTTCTTGTGGTACTGGGGATTGAACTCATGACCTCACGCTTGCCAGGCAGGTGCTTGTGCTGCTGAGTTAAATCCCCGCTCCCCCTTCTTTAATATAGGGTCTCATTATGTATTTCAGGCTGCAATTGGACTCATTACATATTCCAGGCTGGCTTTGAACTCACAGCAGCCCTGCCTCAGCATTCTGAGTGCTGGGATCATAGACATGTGCCATCTGCCTGGAAGGTCTTGCACTTCTTGAAGCAGTTCTAAATAAGAAAGTTTCACAATGTCTTTATGAAGTGTGACCAAAAATAAGATGAATGCTGCTGCTGAGTACGGTCTAACAGAAAGGGAGGCATTTTAAAAAATTATGGTATATTCCTATCCACCTTATTCACCAGATCTGAATCACACAGTGATTGCTGGCTGTTCCCCAAAGTCAAAGTGACGTAAAAGGTTAACATTTAGAACTGATTTAGGACATTGAGGCAGTCCTACAGTGCAACTACAGGTACTCATAAAAAAGATTTCTAGAGCTTCAAAAAGTGGCAGGTAGGAAAAGTGAAGCAAAAGAAGGCAGCATTTTGATGGGGTTCATGACATTTGTCTCCCCCCCCCCCATCTATTTCACTTCAAGGAGAAAACATTCCAAAACACGTCAGTCAGGGGCCAATAATGGTACACACTGCACATTATCACCCCCAAATCATTTACCCAGAGCACATCTGCATTCAAGTATCCGAACAATACGAGCACAAATCTTTCTCTTCAGTAAACTGAGAGAAATCAGGAGTACAAATATCTTAACAAATTTATATACATACACGATTCTTTTAACGTCTTACACTAATGGGACAATATGTTTATACATGTGTGTCTTATGGCAACATGTTTTTTATCATGAACATTAAAAATACTTTTCCACAGTCATTGTAATTTCCTACCCTATCTTGTGGATGTTTTCCAAGGGGAGTCTGCAGCCACTTCTTCCCTAGTTGAGCTGCGCTAATGTTTCTCTCCCTGTCCTTTTAGCCACATTGTGATCTCTAGGCTCCACTGTCATTTTTCTAACTGGGACATTTCCCATTCTTTGTTCTGGATTAACAGCACCACTAATCCATATAAGTATAAAGCATACCTTCACTGAGCAGGTTAAGCTTTTTACAGGAAACAGATGCTGAAGTCCTACTTGAAGAGCAGAATATTGAATAATAGAGGGGTTATTGAGTTATCTGTGGTTGTGTGTACCTAGAGTTCTGAATAATGGGGCAGATCACTTTTAAAGTTGAATTAAAGTTGAATATAATGCCTTCCTTGTCAACTGGAAACTCTTGGCTTTCCAGTTTCATCACATCAAAAAGCATCTATTGAGTATTTATAAAGTTGTGTTTGTTGTGTGGTAACATTCTTGATTACAGAAAAGTGTCCATTCTGAATCAAGAATTTCACTGTAGCCTCTTGATGACGGGGTTTAAACTTAATAGGTAAAGAGCCACATGGTTGCCAGGGCAACTTGGGTTAAGATCATCTGGTCTCCAGGCAACCTTTTTTAAACTTTCTCAGTCACTCTCAGAAGAAGCCCTTCCCTCTTTTTTGCTTCTAGTTTTGTGACCTCAGAATAAGGAGAGCCCAAGAAACCATGAAATGATGCAAGGTTTGGACCAACCAGCCTTCCTTCCTTCCTTCCCTCCCCCCACTTACCTTGGTGGTGGGACTATAACCTGAGGCCTGCCTTATGCTAGGCAGTGTGCTTACCACTGCGCTACACACTCAGCCCCAGGGTTGGAATTTTTGAACTGGCAAAATACACGAATCAGTTGTAGGTTATGTTTGTACTGGAAAAGAAAAATCAGGTTACAGAGAAAGAACACTTTCTTCCTATCCTGGTATCTAAAACACACTAACATTGAACTTTTTTTTAATAGTTACTGTTGCCTTCACATATTCTTGATTCTTGTAAGGCTTGTGAAAGTCTGATTCCTATCAGCTTGTGGCTTGTGAATAAAGTGCTGTTAATTCTCTTCCCTGGCATGTCAGAGACATGACTGGCATCTGAAGTGGAGGGCAGGTTTGTGTAGGAGTTCTGTTTCTGACATCATAAGAGATTACTGTGGCCTTAAACATACAGCATAGTTAACTTGTTTAGGGTGAGAAGGATGGCAGTTCTAAGTGTATACATAGTATGGGAAATCAGCATACTGATTGTTTCATACAAAGCTATGAGATGCTTAATCACATCCCCATTTCTCTGAAGAACTGTCAGAGAACAGTGGCCACTTGGGTTGGAACAGAAAGGCCCCTGTGCTGCCAGTGGAGCTGGCTACTAGTTTATACTTAACGGTGATAGCAACCCTCCTGAATTCAACAGATGTTGAATCCAAGATAAATTGGTATTATCTGTCCTTAAAAGTTCTTAGGGCTAGCCGTTTATTTATTCACTTATTTAGAGATTGGATCTCATTATGCAGTTTTGGTTTTGTTTTTTGAGACATGGTCTCACTAAGTAGTCCAGACCTGGCCTTGGACTCACTGTGTAACCCTGGCTCACCTAGTCTTTTAGTTATTTGTTTAAAATAAACTTTGAGACTTAAAAAAAAAAAAGCCATTCTTTGGTTTCTCCTGTACCAATTGTACCAGCTTCTACACGCCTTAGCTAGTTCTCTTTTTTCCTGTGGTGCTGGGGATCCAACCCAAGGACTCCCTACCACTGAGCTACGTCCTCCGTCGTTTGTGTATTTTGACACAGTATTGCAAAATTGTCCAGGCTTGCTTCAAAGCCTACAGTCCTCTCACTTGAGGTAGCTAGGGGCCACCATGTCAGCTCCTCTAAATTTGTTTGTCACCTCATTACTAATACATAAACATCTTGTAGTTCACTCATCACCTGGCCCTGCCATCATGAAGATCTGTGAGCTGTACCTCGGAGAGAGGTCTTGCATGTGTGGATTCCCTGGATTAGGTATTGAGAGCGCCTCAGGAAGGGAGTGAGACAGTCCTCAAGTTAAAAATGAAAAGTCACTCTCAGTCTACCAAGCGCTCTTGTAGCCTCATTGGCTCCTCAGTGTTGTTTCTGAAGAGGGCATGCCCCGTCCACAGATTCAGTGCAGAACTAAAATGACTTCAGGGCTTCATGTTTTAATTTTGCAGTTTTCTTTCTTTGGTCTTTTTGAGACAGGATTTCGCTCTACATTCAGGCTGGCCACCTCACTTTGTAGCCCAGGTTGGACTCAAACTCACAGTGATCCTCCTGTGTCAGCCTCCAAGTGCTGGGGTTATAGGTATGGACTACCACATTTGGCCTTTTTTTTTTTTTTTTTTTGTCTTTTTCGTTTTTATCGGTACCAGGGATCGAACTCATGACTGCCTGCTTGCAAGGCAGGCACTTATGCCGCTGAGCTAAATCCCCAGCCCCACCACATTTGGCCTTACTTTCATAGGATATTTACCTTGCTGGTCTTGTCTTGTCTTTTCTTTGCCTTGGTGTTTTTAAGTGCAGAAATAATTTCTTCTCCAGATCTTAATGGTTTGTTTTCTTACATGGTTTCTCTAGAATTATGCACATACTCTTAGAGAAGGTCTTAAGAGTTATCTCTAATTTGATCTGTTAGAGAGCACGCAACTTTAAACGAGAGGGTGAGGACCGGGGATTTAGCTCAGCGACTCAGGTGCTTGCCTGGTAAGCACAAGGTTGTGAGTGAGTTTGATGAGTGAGTACAAAGCACACAAAAGCAAAACAAAACAAAACAAAAAAACCTCCAGAGGGCTGTGGGCATGAGATGAAACCTGGGGCAAAGCTGGAGGGCAGGAGCAGAGGGGCAGGTGTTGGTGTTTAAGTGGGAATTTGGTGCTGGGGTGCTTATTCTGAAGGACCTGACTGAGTGCTTGGGAAGACCCGTTTTCACTTAGAATTGGTAACTGGTGAAGGCTGAACTTTGGAGGAGAAACAAAGGTAGAAAACTTCTTCGCAGCATGCATGCTCCAGTGTGGCAGATAAAATCCATGGAATATACTCATGGCTTTCCACCACTGTCCACTTCTTCAGTACCTGAACTCTCTGTACTGAGTAAATTAGGGGTTTGGAGAAGGCAGAGGGCCCCGAGTGGTTGGGAAGGCCTCAGTGGAAGAGGTGAGACTCAAATAATCCTTGAAGGATGGTCACAATTACAAGTAGGAGAGGACACTGTAGGCTGACTGGTGCTTTCTTTCTTTCCTTTCCCCCATTCCCTCCCTCCTTCCTTCCTTTCTTTTTCATTCGTTCCGTCTGTTCTACTGGGAATAAATCAAACTCAGGACCTCCCGCTTGCCACGCAGGTGCTAAGCTGCCTGAGCCATGCCTTTGGCCCTGCCCCATTTCTTACTCATTCTCAGTATTTTCATATATATGTTCATTGTTAGCCTCAACATTCTTGTGTGCTGTTGATTTTTATAGAATTACTCTCAATTAGGAAAGGACTTGTATGCATTGTTAGATTTTTGGGGGGGGTAGTATACTAGGAGTCAAATTTAGGAACTCACGCTTGCCAGGCAGGCCACTGAGCTAAATCCTATTTCTTAGATTTTTTATAGTCCACACTGGTTCTGAACTAGTCATGTAGCTTAGGCCTTTGTCTAACTTGAGGTCCTCCTGTGTGTTGGGATCACAGGTGTGTGCCGCCACACCTGGCTGTCATTACGTATTTTCTTGTTGTTGGTCTGATTTAAAGATTGCTGCTTGGTGAGCCATCACTAACAGATGGTATTTTACGGGCCTGCCCATTACCCTTGCTGAACTCAAACTTGAATGCCCAGGTGAGTGTTAAGTCACTACCCTCTCTTACTCTTGACTCAGCATTGGTGTCACTGCCTTTGTGGGACTTGATCTGCAACTTCTGATGGCAAGATTTCACCAAAAATAGGAAAGAGAATATCTACTGTTTTGCAGTGCGTGGCTCCATCTCAGGGCTTTGCTGTCCTAAGCAAATGTTTGGCCATTGAGAAAGCTGTAGAAAAAGAACCATAAATAAGTAGTTTTCTTTAAGTGAGACTCTTGCTTAGAGATCAGTGTCCTAAGCTGGCCTTTTTCTAAATCTCATCTTAAAATTTCTTCTGCCCTTTCACTAAAGCAACATCCTGTCCTTTTGTTTTAGGGTACTTCCCTTCTCTTCCCCTGGCTGCCTCACACTGGGTGATTGGCAGATACAAGCTCTGCACTGCTCCAGTTTTTAAAGCTGCAAAGCCGGCTTCTGTTATCAGCTTGAAGAGTACTTTGAATATAAGTGAGCGGACACAGAGGACTTAGCAATAAGAAGTTACATTTCAATGCCATTTTCAGATACTTTCTTTTTTTTTCCTTCTCCATTGAGATAGTTGGTGCCCTGCTAAACTCCAAGTGGCCGCCTGTGGGCCTGGGGAGCCCCTCGTTCCCTGCTCAGCTCTCCGGATGGCTCTGGAGGCTCAGTATTTTGGTCCTAGTTTCATGAAGATGGAATGGCTGTTGTCAGTATTTGTGATAGTTTAGAATACAGCACTGAATGTGTAGGTATTTATAGCCTGCAAGGCAGCGAGGAGAGAACAGAATTTTCTTACCTTTGATTGTAGGGCTGTGGGTTCGTTGTTTCCATGGTTTCCTGTGGTGGGGATTGGTGAAGGCTAAGGGTCATGAGTAGAAATTACTGGGTTTTGCCTTCTGCTCTGGTGCTTGGAAGGCCTGCTAGCGGCGAGGTCATCATAGGAAGGCAAAGGGGCAGCAGGGCCAAAGCACGTTCCCTCTGCCCAGGACCTTCATGTGTCACCTTCTTCGTTGGCAGGCACTGAGTGACCGCTTCAGCGGTGAAATCCCTGATGACCAGATGGCGCACAGCTCTTTTTTCCCAGATGAGTACTTCACCTGCTCCTCTGTGTGCCTCAGCTGTGGGTAAGTGAGGCCAGCCGGGACCTGCTCCCTGCCTTGGGACTGAGGACTCAGTGGTAATTCCAGACTTTCATGCAGGCCAGTCACCTGGGATCTGGTTCAATGACAAGTTCTGACTTAACTGTACCTCCTAGAGTGAGGCCAAAGACAAGTACCCAGGTGATCTTGGTTGTATAGCAAGGGCTTTAAGAGTACAGTACATGGTCCTGAATCCGGATGAGCCCAACCAGTGAAGCTGACTGGTGTCTGGTTTGGGCATTTTTTATGGTGGAGGACTTTGGGTTGCCTGCCTTTGTTTTTCTTTAACCACAGCTTTCAAGCATTTATTCATAGTATTTCACTTATTGAGCTAGCTATTGAGTGCTCATGCCCTGCTTTGTGCAAAGAACCATGGTAGGTATTGATTCTAGGTGATTCTTTCATTATGGAGACACATGCTTGGAGCACGTTAGAATTTACTAGGGTACTTTCAGAATTATTGAGGCCAGGCCATCTTCTCCAAGTCAGAGTCTGCGGGTTGGGTTGGGCCTGAAACTCTGTATTAAAATTAGAGCAGTGGTTCTCAAATTTTAGCATGCATCAGAAAAACCTGAAGAATGTTTTAAAATAGATTGTTGGTCTCTGACTCCCTAAGGTGAAACTGATGTTGCTTGTTGGGTGACCACACCTGAGTGTCATTGTGTTCATTAAAGCTGATGGCTATTACATTAAAGTCTGGTGAGAGTTGTTGGATGGGCCTGATGTTTAATGGTGGATCCCATGTCCTGTGGACACTCCAGTCCCCTCACCATTGAATGTCTTTGCCCATATCGGGACCTCTGCCCATGTTGTATACTTGCCCATCTACCAGAAGGGTCCTGACCTGAGTTCACCTCTCTAATGAATGGCATTTAGGCACTGAAACCTGTAGGCAGGCCACTTGCTGGGTACTTATTATACCGCATTTGACTTGGATAAAAAGTCTTGGTTGTTGGATTATACAGTGTGGGCTACGGAGAACTAAGGATTATCTTGAAGAGCTCAACTTGAGAAGGAGAGATTATTTGCCACTGGAATATTTTTGTTCTCTCTGTGAGTAGCATGAGGGTCCTGAGCACTACTGGATCGTGGTTTTTCCATTGTGACAGCTTCACCTGGATTTCCAGAACTTTCCCTTTTTTAACACTGAAATTCTGAAGTCCTAGTCTATTTTTGCCCTGTCAGGATGGCAGAGCTTACTGTTCATTTGGAAGTTTTTCTTACTTAGCATAAGCCTCCCCTTGATGCATTGTCAGCTTTTTGATTTGGTTTTCATTTTCTATTTTGGCACCTGTTTTTGGTTTAACTTCGTATTTCTGCTTTAGATTTTTAATTTCTTGAGAGTTGTTCAGTTTTTATCTCTGGTCAAGGTTGATGTCTTCTGGCTGCTTCATTCTGCTAAAGGCCAGGTGGGCTTTCTAAGAAGAGATTCTTTTTTCCTTTTTTCCAGTTACAAGAGCCTTGTTGGCTCTACTTCTGTCATGCCACTGATTGCAAGTATAACAGGGGGGCACCTATGTTTTTGAGGTGAGCTGTCTTTTCTGTGTTTCACATTCAAGGCCCAGTTAGTAATCAGGTCCGATTCAGCTCTGTGCCTAAAGCAGGGCAGAGTCTTCTGCACATGTGGCACTGTTCCGCGCGCTGTCTCACTCTCCGGTTTTGGGTTTCCCTTAGGGCTGGATGTAAAAACAGTATGAACCATGCAAAGGAAGGAGTGCCTCACGAAGCCAAGAGCCGCTGCAGTTACTCCCACCAGTACGACAACCGAGTTTATACCTGCAAGGTGAGCCTTCCCAGTTTCTCTTTGCTCCTGTGGTGGCTTGCTGGACCTGCTTTCCTTTTGGGAAAATTGTCTTGGCTTGCTCTTTGCTGCATCCCTAGCAGTGTTCAAATTGAGTTTATCTTTGGAACTTACCTCCAGTTCTGACCAAGAGAATTCATACATCTTCATTGTCAGAGCCTCCATGGTTTATTTTTGAAAGCTTTTTCTTCTCTCTGTTGAGCTTGTGTGTAAGGGCTGAATATATTGACTGTCACTTTTCTTTGGAGCATAATGCTTCTCAGAAAGTCAGTTTGATGGATTCCTCCTCTCTGTGACATGTGTATAATTTAGAGGTCAGGTGTGGGGCCTGGGTTGGCTACACAGTTCAGTGTCCTTCAGGGCACTGGTTTCTTTAGAAAAATAAACCTTCTGAAGTGGTAAGCTCTGACCCTGTAACCGCAGCTGGTGTGGTTTGTGGGAATGGAGATGTGAAGAGGCCATGGGGTCTGGGGTACATGGAATAAGCTAGCAGAGTGCTCCATGTTTCAGGCCTGCTACGAGAGGGGCAAGGAAGTCAGCGTAGTGCCCAAAACATCTGCTTCCACCGACTCTCCCTGGATGGGTCTTGCAAAGTATGCCTGGTCAGGGTGAGTTTAAACTTCTTAGCTAAAGGTTTGTTGGTGTTTGTCTCTCCAGCATCTAGCTGGGTAACACTGTTTACTTGCCTCCCTCATAGGTATGTGATCGAATGTCCTAACTGTGGCGTGGTCTATCGGAGCCGGCAGTACTGGTTCGGGAACCAAGACCCTGTGGATACGGTGGTGCGGACAGAGATTGTGCATGTGTGGCCTGGAGTAAGAACTACTGCATTAATTTTCTGCCTTCTGTCTATTGCTCGCTCTTGTGTGTGTGCTCTCTCTGTCTCTGTGAGTGTGTCTGTCTGTCTCTCTCTCTCGCTGGGGATGAAAGCCAGGCCTTGCACATAGTAGGCGGACTCTCCCCAGTCCTCTTTCTCCTGTTTCGGTCAGTTGTTATGTGTGGAGAGGAGTGGAGTTTTGTTAAAAGGGAGATCAACTGTGAGTTTCAGAGTTTCATCATCTGGATAGCACTTCCTGTTTCAAACCTATGTTTTTGTTTTTTGCATAAATAGTAGAAGCACAACTTTTAAATGAAATAACTATTAAGATTAATCTATTGAATGTCCTTTGGTAAATAAAATCTCATGTTGTTTTCTTTTCCATATACACTTGTTCATAAAATTATAACTTGTTTATTTGTTCTGGAACCTTCTCTGTCACCATGAATGAGCCTGGTCTCATATGACCTTGGAGGCTAAGCAGGTCAGGCTTATTTAGTACCTGGTGGGAGATGAAGCCTTGCTGTTTTGCCTGTGTTGACTTGTAATTGGTTCAAGCAGTCCTCCTGCTTTAGCCTCTTGAGTTGCTGAGACCACAAGTGACTGTCACCACACCTGATCCAATTAGAGTTTACATGCCATTTTCCTAGCTTTTTCTCCATAGCACAGTGTCTTTTGTTTGGTTCTGTGGTTTGATTTGCCCGTCCCTTAGTTTTGGATATTTACGGTGTTTATGGGATTTTTATTGCAACAAAAATGCTTTTTGACCATTTTCTTATAAGGTCATTTCTTTGTTCTGGAAATTTTTCTAGTAATATATCCTAGGAAGTGGGATTATGGTAGGCCTTTAATTACTTCTGAATTTGATTTTAAAATGTAAGGTATTAGGGACCAGGGGTCTGGTTCAGTGGCACAAGTGCCTACTTACCAAGCACAAGGTATTCAATCCCTGGCACAACAAAAAAAAAAGTAAGATACGAGACAGAGATGTGTACAAGAGGCAGTGATTTGTTTTGGTACTTTCTGCATCAGGTCACTATTTGCAACCAGCCTTGGTTCCATGCATGCACAGTCTCAGCTATGTGTGAGGCTGAGACAGGAGGATCACTTGAGCCTAGGAGTTTGAGACCAGCATGAATATGAGAAAGATCCCAGTGAGACAGAAGGAGATAGGAATCGTTAGAGGACCTAACTATTCATGCTTGGATTATTCATAAATCACAACAAAATCCAGTTCTTTTCTACTCATGAGAGAAAGACAAGTGATTTTCTAAGAGAATTATTTTGCTCTCTGGTGTTTCCCTTGCTGGGTAATGCCTTTAAGTCACCAGTCAGTTTTGCAGCCCACATTAGTCAGCTGTCCATCACCGTGACAGATCGGAGACAATCACCTTGTAAAGAGGAAAGTTTAGGGGACTCAGGCCGTGGCCGGTTGGTCCTGTTGCTTTGGACAGCAGTGACACGCGGTGTCACTGGGAATGTGTACTGGAGAGAGCCTGTTTACCTCATGGTCAAAAGTGAGAAGAGAAGGAGACCATTATTCCACAGTCCTCTTCAGAGACACACTGCCAGTGACCTTAAACCTCCTACTAGACTCCAGCCTCTTCAAGTTTCTGCCTCCTCCCGGTAGAATCAGGCTGAGGATTAAGCCTTTAGCTCATGGGCCTTGTGGGGAGGACATTCCTCAGCCAAGCTAGCCCAGTCCTACCTGCAAATGTGCCTGAGCTTTCCTGGATCTATAGGTGCATGAAACCGAGGGTTTCTTTGTTTTGTGCATGTGTGTAAAACAGCTCCCCCTCCCCCGCCAGTTTCTGGATCCTCTTGGATTTGTTACTGTGGTGTGGTCCTCTTTCTGGAGTCCCCCTTGGCTTGATGGTTTTGATCTTGTCCCAAGGATTTAAAGTGACCTTAAAGTAAGAAATTTAATTATGTATTTCAGGAAGACAGTAGTGAATACTTTGCTCGTAGGCTGCATCCCTCATAGTCCCTGGGATTAGAATGCCTTGCTTTCTGTTCATCTGTTCATTCATTGGTGCTTTATTTCAGCATATGTTGTCAAGTACTGTGCACCCAGAGTTGAGCTAAATACTTTGAAAAAGTAGGCCCTTGTTCCCAGAGGGTTCATGGTCTACCAGAGAATCAGATAGGTCAGAAACACTGCTTATACACATGGGTTTGGGTTCCCTGACTGACGGGGATGGGAGACTTCCTGGAGGAGGTATTACCTCATGTTGTGTAGAGAAAAGTAAGTCCTGAGTTGGGCAGCTGCAATTTAGGCATTTAAGGTGAACGTTGATGAGCATAAACGTTGACATTTTGGGTGCAATGTTACTTAGAAGCCAAAGAAGTCACTGGTGCCTCTCCAGTGTCTGCTATGAAGGACTTTATGGTTCTGAGGTGGCCACCAGCTGCTCCTCTCCCTCCTCCTTCACTCAGAGCATGATGGAAGCTTCCATTTTCATTTCAGACCGATGGGTTTCTGAAGGACAACAACAATGCTGCCCAGCGCCTGTTGGACGGGATGAACTTCATGGCTCAGTCAGTGTCCGAGCTTAGCCTTGGGCCCACCAAGGCTGTGACTTCCTGGCTGACAGACCAGATCGCCCCAGCCTACTGGAGGCCCAACTCACAGATCCTGGTATGGTGGCTGCAGGCACCTGCACCCCACTAGAGCAAACGATGCTTAGGCCACTTCTCTGGTTCTCTGAGGGAGGCGCAGTGTTTCTCCCCAAGCAAGTGGCGGTGGCGGGAGTGTTGGAAAGGGTAGGAACTTTGAGGCAGTCAGTTCCCTCTTTGCTCACTGATTTCCTTTTATCAAGAGTTTTCTCTCTCATGGGTCTCATTCCTTACCTGTGAGGGCCATAAATTAATACTGCTCTGATTTCTGAGGTCATTGATAAAGAGTGTGGATAGAGATTTTCAGAGGTCATTTTCATTATCCTCCACTTGCTACGTAAATCTCTAGGGCATGCACAGGCAGGGAGCACCTGGCCTCTGCACACAGAGCTGGGACAGGACACTCATTTCTCCTTTCCACTTTCAGATAACTATCATTACTAGGAAGTTTGGGTCCCGACTGAGCTAAAAGCCGCCTTTCTGAGTTTCTAGCTGCTGCCTGGGTCTTGCTGGCTTTCTGAGCTGAGTGGACACCTACGATTCCTGCCTCTCTGTTTTGTTTTGTGCTTGGAGCAGAACTGCAACAAGTGTGCGACATCCTTTAAAGACAATGACACTAAGCATCACTGCCGGGCCTGTGGGGAGGGCTTCTGTGACAGCTGTTCATCTAAGACCCGGCCAGTGCCTGAGCGAGGCTGGGGACCTGCACCCGTGCGGGTGTGTGACAACTGCTATGACACCAGGAATGCCCAGTTAGGTAATGTGGGGCCCTAAGAGCTGCAGGGGCAAAGGGGACTTGCTTTCCTTTGTGCTTACTGGGTTTTAGAACCCAGACTCTCACACTCCTGGCCTTAACCCATCATCTCGTGGGAGGTCTTTGTAGCAGAGCCTTTGCTCGGGTCATGGCCTGGCTGCACTACGTGAGAGATGCTTCTGACAGACACTGAGAAGTCGAAATTTGGAAAGCCTCCAGTATTTATCAGAGATAGCTTACTCTGATCCCTCTTTGTGGACGGTTCTAGGGTATGCTCTCCAAAGTTCTCTGACTTTAAAAGAACGTTGACCTTTTTAAAAGAAGGGTGGAGATGAAGAGAACAGATGTCATGCAATTTGGGGCTGAGCCACAGCCCTGGACCCTTGCAGTCACTGTAAGACACCGCAGAGATCCAGGGAGATGAGGCCAGAAGTCTGCTGCTCTGGCCCTGAGTTTTCCATTCAGGAAATGACTGAGAGGAAACATCTCTTTTATCATTGTCCACAGATATTACTGAGGCACAGGCAGATGATGAAGGTGGAACACTCATTGCTCGGAAGGTGGGCGAGGCTGTGCAGAACACGTTGGGAGCTGTGGTGACAGCCATTGACATACCACTAGGTGGGCTTGGTGGTGCATCTCTTGGGTATAGCACATTAGGATGAAGGGATGCCGGCTTTCCTGGACTGTCATTTTGCCACCCTAGATTGAGCTAAGTGTCGAAGAGTCCATTAAAATACGACATTTGCGTGGGTCTGGTGAATCCTTTATGGTTTCATGTTTATTCTGCCATTTTATCCTAAGTATGAGTAATAACGCCAGGCAGCTGCTAGTACCTGGAACAGAGTAACTGCCTTCCTTGACTTCTTGACTTACATACTTATAAGATATAACATGGCTGTTGACAGGGCTTTACATTACAAGGCACAGTACTCTGTTAGGCAGCAAGTGGTGGGGGAAAGAGGAGGACCTCCCAGAATAAATGTGAAATCATAAAGGGTTTGTCTAGGTGGGAAGCTTAAGTTACACTTGCCCCCCGTTCACCAAGTGCTCACTCCCTGAGTTGTGTACTGAGCAATGTGTTAGACACTGTGACTTCTTCCATCCTCAGAAATAGCTTAGAACTGGGTAGCTCAGGGGCCAGGGATAAAGCTCAGTGGCACACTACCTGCCTGGCAAGAGCTGGGTAGCCCAGGATAAGCACTGTGCGTGATCCTGTATGCAGTGAGAATGACAAGCTAGTAAGTACGTGCCAGCCAGTGGGGGCTCAGGGAGTAGTGGGTTTCTGTGTGTTGACCACCTTGTCCCTTCCTCACACAGGCCTGGTGAAGGATGCGGCCAGGCCAGCATACTGGGTGCCTGACCACGAGATCCTGCACTGCCACAATTGCCGCAAGGAGTTCAGCGTGAAGCTCTCTAAGCACCACTGCCGCGCCTGCGGCCAGGGCTTCTGTGATGAGTGCTCCCATGACCGCCGGGCTGTACCCTCTCGAGGCTGGGACCATCCTGTCCGAGTCTGCTTCAACTGCAATAAAAAACCCGGTGACCTTTAACCCTAGCTCCCTCCATGAATCCTCCGCAATTCCTTAGGTTCTCAGGGTCAGAAACTGAAGTCTCATTGAGATAGGCTCTCCTCCCGGTCACCTGTGGTGTGTCCTTTTCTCCTCATGTCCTAGTCCTAGAGCCACTTCCCCTAGGTGGGGGTGAGCCTCGCAGCAGGCCGAAGACACAAGCCCCTCAGGCTGGGGGTGGACTGAACAGCTCTGTGGCAAGGGGGGGATGAACCTGAATGCATTGCATTTATTTTTGGTAAAAATATAAAATGCGTATCTCTGTAATACATATATGAAAGGAATTTGGAGTGTATCGAGGTTGCTACTGGTTGCCAAGACTCGCCCTGGTCTGTCCTCAGCACAGAGAAGGTGGCTGTGGCAGCAGGACATCTCCACAAAAGGAAGCTAGATGCCCTCATGTTGCTAGTCCTACCTTTTGCTGCTTGAGTCTGGGCAGCCTCTTTTCCCCTATAGGCCCTCCCTGCTGTTTCTTCTAGGGGATTTCCGTTTGGGTCCTTGGGGGACTCAATTCCAGCTCCTGGGTTAATCTTTAGTCAGAGACCGTTCAGCTTAGCGTGCAGGGCCCTGGAGTGTGCTGGGGCAGGGTGTGTGTGGGTCTTCAGTCCTGAGAAGTGACAATGCAATGCTGCTTCGTTCCTCACGGGAAGTATGGAAGGAACTGGGCCTTCCCAGCAGCGATTCCTCGCTTGTTGACGTTTCTGTCTCCATGAGGCCTTCCCAGATACCTGCACCCTGCTTCTGAAGTAAAGCACTTGCACTCTCTGCCCTTCTTTCAGCCCATAATCTGCTTTTGGGTGTCATACTAGGATTTGTTTTGCTTACAGTGTCTTAACTTTTTGTTCTAAGACACACAACCTCTAGCTATTGAAGTGGTGATCATGAGAAATTCCAGGGGAACACAGCTCACAATGGACTGTTACTTTTTTTCCTAGTATATATATTTCAATAGATCATAAAAATATTCCTATTTGGTTCTTGCAAGAGAAGTCAGATGAATGTTTCTCATCAAAAGCTTGGATATCCTTATTTGTCATGACTGGAAAGACTTGTTCTGAAATCCTATCATCAGGATGTTTATCTTCAATGGCCAAAAAAGAATTACAGAAGCATAGTTCTCGACTGACCTGGTGGGCAGTGCTTTGGGGAGGTGTGTAGGTGACTATGTCTGGTGTGAGTGTCCTTGTGATGTGCACCCTGGGGTGGGTTAGTCCTTCTCAGACCTCCTTTCTGCCTCCTGGGGCCCAGCAACCGAGGCCCTGCTCTAGAACTGTGTATTATCAAATTTGCCACCATAAAGGAATCTTCCTGCTGAACATGGACTGTGCTTTTTCCTCTAACTTGCCAGTAATCTTGCGCATGCCCTCTGTCTTGGTGATGTAGTAGCCAGTGGCTTGCAGAGCCAAAGTCAAATGAGACACATGAATCTAGACTGTTTTCCCAGTATACACTTAAGTTTATTATGCTGACAAATAAGTTTTCTAGAAAAAAGTATAAGCAAATATCATGGTTATTATCACCTGGAATTCAGTTTTAATCTTGTAACAGACTTTCCCCAGCTGTTAGGTAGCACATACACCCCACACCAGTTTTTCAATTGGGACTGGGACTTCGTGGTTGTCAGGAGTATTCTTTTATTTACAGGCATTAACTTATGGTCACAGAATTCTTTGCAGTGACTGGAGACCCACAAGTTCCCATATGTCATCCTGTGCCTATAGCTTCCCTCCAGCCTTGTCGCAGCAGGTGAGGGGTTAAGTGAAGACTACAGAGCGCGGCAGGAGGGTCTGGGGAGGCTGCAGGGGCTTCAAGGGGGCCAGTGTGTTAGCTGTTGAGCTGCTTGGCGGCTCTCTGCTTTCTTTTGGTAGGTGTGATGCTGGGACACACAGGGGAGCCCCTCTAATAGGATGAGATGGGCTATTACTCATTTACCCACCCAAGTTTGTCTTGTGACCCTGTCTTTAATGGAAATGGTCACTAAACAGATTGTCAAAGGAAACTCTTAACATGATGATTTTGCTTTAACTTGTGTAACTCTTACATGCAATACCATAACGTATGAGAGAACATAAAATTAGTGCTGAAACTGGGTGTGGTGGTGCCTGGGCATCGTCCCAGCATGCAGGAGGCTTAGGCATGAGGGTAGGCTGTGAATTTGAGGCCTTACTGGGCTACATAAGTGAGACCCTGTCTCAAAAAACCAGAACCAAAAATACACCCAAAACCAAACCGCTGTCCACTCAATTGTGTTATAAGAGAAGCCACCCGATGGCTACACTGCCTGTGGGGGCACTGCGAGGTACTTTCTGCTTCTAACACAGGACTTCCTCTTGTCTCCTTCACCTTGCCTGACTTGTCACGCACCATCTCCTCATTCTCTGGCCCCTGACACCGGGCTGTGTCCTTTCCTGCTTCCTTGCCTCATTTCCTTCTCCCTTATCTTCCGCTTTCCCAGTCCTTTCCAACCTTCTCTCTCATTTTCTGGATGAGTAGGGGAGGGCAGGAACAGTTTGGGCATAAAAAGTGAAAGGTGGCTGGAAGATACCTGACACAACTAAGTGGGGAAAAGGTTTATTTTGGTTCAGGTTGGCTCCAAGGCAGACATGACACAGTAGAATGCCATGCTGGAAGAATGTGTTCACCCCATGGTAGCCAGGAATAAAACATACCCTTGTCATGCCCCAGTGACCAGGCTCCACCTCCAAAACACATTTTTGCCAAGTTTTTTTTTTTTTTTAAATCTGAGTCATTCTCTTTTACCTCTAACTCTCAAGGCTTGTTCCCATTTCATTAGGCAAGACACACTGAGTCCATTAAGTGCCAGAGTTCACAGTTGCAGCACTGCTGTTAAGTTTAGTCTCTTCTGAGACTTAAGGCAAATTGAATCCTTTTGAAAATACTTCACATAAAATGATGTAGGGTGGTGGTACACGCATGTAATCCCAGCATTTGGAGGCTGAGAGGATCACTGCAAGTTTGAGGCCAGCCTGAACAGTACAATGAAACCCTGTCTCAATTCCCCCCCCCCCCCCCCCCCCGCCATGCACAGGGTGAGCAAACAGGAATAGGGAGACAGAAAAAAACTGGGCCAAAGCAATACTGGAACTGAGCAGGACAAACATGTAGTCCTGTAGCTCCATGTCCCGCAGCCAGGGCAGGTAGACGGAGCTGTGTTCCTTGGGGCCCACCCAGCCCTGCCCACATGGCCTCTCCACCAGGGTGGCTGTGCTCACTGCCTTAGGATTTTCTTTAGCAGACATTTGACATTGTAGTGTCTTCAGTTCTAGAGGCTGAAGCCTCTGTACCTTAGGCTTCACTCAGCTTTGTATATTCTTCTCCAGGGTATACTGCTTGTTCAAATCTGGGTGGAAACTTCAGGAGCACACAACTTGTGCACTTTTATGTGCCTGAAAAACCAGCACCATGTGGATGATGTGCTGGTCTGCTGTCAACCTCAGCAGCTTGGATTATAGCTGCAGAGGCCTTAGCTCTTAGACGGTTGTCTAGGGGCCCCTGAATGAGGTTAGTGCCATGGGGCTCTAAACACATCCTTTCAAAGGAGTTTGGCCATTTCCGGAGACTTCCCCAAGGAATCTTCTGCTGTTTTTTGAAGGTAATAATTTCTTCAGAAAGCACGCCAACTTTTGGACCAAATTTTAAGGCTGTTTTTTTTTCTTTCCTGAAAGGGTCTTGGCTATATAGTCCAGGTTGACCTCAAATTTCTAGTGCTCCTCCTGCCTCAGCCTCCCAAGTGCTAGAACTTAACAGGCCAAAATTTCAAATTTCTCTGCTCTGCCTTTTGCCTAAGTCTGGCAAAAAGCACCAACTACCCATGCCACAGCCTGAATTTATGCTGTCTTGAAAATGACTTTTACAGGTTAATTTAGTTCACTATCTTTAATCTTTGTTTCCTGTAAAGTCTCAGTACCTGAGCAAAATGCAGACAGGTTCCTCAGCAGAATGTAGCTCACGCAGTCTCTATTTCAGTTTTCAGTAGATCGTTGTTCCCAACTGAAACCTCCTGAGCCTGCAAATTGTTACTAACATTCTGGTCTGAGTTTCAACTAGAATCACCCATTAAGTTCTGCTTACAGCATTATGGGACTTTACTAGTCTCTATATTTTTCCAAACTCCCATTAACCAGTTCCAAAGCCTTCTACACCACATGCTTAGGTAGTCACAGTAATAACCCTACTTCTCTAATAACAATTTTCTGTATTAGTCACTTTCCTATCCCTGGGACAAAATACCCAACATCCATAATTTAAAGGAGGAAAGGTTTATCTTGGCTCATGGTTTTCAGAAGACTCAGTCCATGGTAAGTTTGTTCCAAAGTAGAAATGGCATAGTAGAAGCCCATGGCGATGGAGTACTGCTCACCCTATGGCAGTTAAGAAACTAGGAATAAGAATATGCCCTTCTGGTCACAGCCCTAGTGACCTTTCTCTTCTGACCAGGCCTCACTTCTGAATACAGGATTTTTGGGGATTTTAGATCTATGTCTAAATAGTGGTGGCTATGTTAGACTTGGCTGGTTGTTCTGTGTCATGTCCCAGCACCCACCGTCTGTTTAGATATGTGGTAGGGACATTTCTATTCCACCACTGGCCTAAGTAAGATTTTTTTGTAGAACTCAAAGAGAAAATAATTTTTTCTTTTTGGGTTTTTGAGACAGTTTGTAGCCAGGCTGCCTCAAATTCCTGTGATCATATGGCTACAACCTCCTGAGTGCTGGGATTGCAGGCATGTGCCACCACACCTCACAGAAAACAATCTTCTGAACTCTTTTTTTCTACATTGGTCAAATCAGTGGAGGAAAGGAAGGTACCTATGTCAGGTTCTTTTCTTTGTCTTACAGGATCCAAGCCCAGCCTCAACTAAGTATGAGGTAAAGACCTCGTATAAGCTGAGATGTTTTGCTGAACACCGTAAAAACAGCTGGCACCCTTTAAGAATATGGTTATACCCCTTCTTCTCCAGTAACCACTATAACATCTATAGCACCAATCAGTTCCCCTATTCCTTGGGGCAGGGGCTTCATGTAAGGCTTTAAATATCTCTGGTAAATGACTTGCTTACAGGTGAAGATAACCACTGAACAGAATGACCTGTGATTATGGTCTTTTAACCAATAGGTCCCAGTGGGATCATTCAAGATCCCTTGGGTTTAATTCAGTGAACTGACTTATTTGGGAACTGGAAATGTGAAGGATCGGTATTTAGTTAACCATTGGCAGATGCTGTGCTAGCTTTATATGGTTGATGGTTGGAAGATAGCCAGTGGTGGCCAGGTTTTAGAGTCAGACACTGGTTGAGAGGTTCAGAAGCTCAGTGCCCTATGGCAGTGAGATGCACAGCTCCCATCTGGGGCTTGGCAGGTATGCAGCCTCCTCCAGCAAGGTCTCCTAGAAAATCTGCTACATATTATACATTCCTTTGTATTTCTAGCTACAGTCAGTATGAGCAAAGTTACAAAGCTAAGGTTCCTTTATCTTTAAATAAACACAATACACATTAACTGCCTTCTGGCTTACAAAACAAGAACCAAACCTCCAACTGTTAAAATTCTGATATAATTTTGCAACCATATTTGCATTTTCAGTTTCAGAACTATCATTAAATAGGAAGAGAAAACTGAATCCAGTTACAGCCTAACTCTTCTGGCGTTTAATGGAATTGGGACTGGGTGTGGTGGCCAGCGCTCAGGAGGCTTAGGCAGGATTGCTGGAAGTTTGAGGCCAGCCTGATTTATAGTGAAACCCTGTCTGTTTTAAAAAAAAAAAAAGGCCTTAGCTTTAGTTATTGTGCATAATCTGAGCTCTAACATGGATTTCTCTGAGGCTCTGGTTCCATCCTGAGTATCCTTCAGGTCCTCCAGATATTTCAACTAAAGGAGCTTGAGTGGACTCAACAGGTCACCTCAGTTCTGGCTACTGGGGATAAGTATTGCCTCTGTTTGTGTGTACTTACTCAGATTATGGTGGCGGCAGAGAACACATTTTTCATACTGTAAGTACTTTTTTTAATTAAAAAAAAAAAGTTTTTTTTGGTCTTTTTTTGAGACAGGCTTCTCACTATGTAGTCCAGACTCTCTTCAAACTCACTATGCTCCTCCTGCCTCAGCCTTCCAAATGCTGGGATTACAGATATGTGCCACTATGCCCAGCTCTGTAACATCTTTTATTTATGTTAAGACTGAATTTCATCATGTTGCATAGACTGGTCTGTAATGTCTGGACTCAAATGATTTTCTTGCCTCAGCCTCTGCAGTACCTGGGACAACAGGTGGGTGCCACTGCAACCAGCTAATAATTCTGAAGGAGCACAACTTTCCTGCTTCCTTTATGGGTGGCAAGGATCAAAAAGGGTAAAACACCAAAAAGTAGCTGTAGCTATAGGTCAACTGTTAAGTAACCAAAATTCTCACAGAGTTTTAAGATTTGGTTCTCTGAAAATTGTATTAGGGTCTGGCAGGAAATAGAACATGCATGAGGGTAATTAAAGAGTTTAATTGGTGAAATAATGCTGGGATTAGGAAAGTAAGGAGTTAGGGACAAAGAACAGTTAATTGGAACCCAGAGAGAGTTGTGTTTCAATAAAAGCTGTGACTTCTGGTTGCATCTGCCACAGGTCAACAGAAAGGGAGCAAGGGAACGAACAATCCTACTTCGTGGTCCTGGCCCTCTGCTTTCCTGCTACTACTTCCCACTGGCTGCTTCCGCCTGGAGCTCAGGGACCTTGCAGCCATCTGGGCCAGTCTCCTGGGGCACATGCAGGTCACAGAAAGAAAAGGCAGAGTCGGTTGGTCTGGAGGGATAGGATAAGAAGGTCTCCTGCACAGCCACTTAAAGCTGGTCTCAGACATTTTGGCTTCATCTGAGATCTAAGTATAGGCTACTGCAGTTGGTTTGGTGCTACAAGCGTCAGGATCTTAGAAGAATCAACATGCTATGACATATTTCTCTACTACATTGTTAGAAAGACAGGCTTTTAAAAACACTTGGTAAAAACATTTTACAAATTGCAGATTACAAAAAGCCAGTAGATTTTCTTTGATTCTGAACCCTTGAATTTGACATTCAAATACTGTAACAGGAACAAGAGCTGCTATCCTTTACATTCTGGAAGCTGCCTTAACAAAGGCATGTTAAAGACTGTTTAAAACTTCTAGCTTAAAAAAAAAAAATCCCACCTTTCCTTTCAGTGCCTATGAGAAGTAACAATCCTCTGGATTTGAGATGCTGATGCTGAGTTTGAGATGGCTGCATTAATGATTCCAAACTCCAGCCTAAAATCTTTACTCAGACATATCTTGTTCTTCCTCGCCACCCCAGCTGGCTTTGTCAAGGGCAAGTTAACTCTTCCTGGAATCCAGGCACTGACTACTTCAACAGTCTCACTGGTTTCTCCACAGGGCTTCTAGTAAAAGCAGCAGCTTTTAGTTTTTGCCCATTTTTATTTAGTCCTTAGTGAGAAGTCTTTGTTTAAAAAAAAAAAGGTGGGGGAGCGAGAGAGGAGGAAACTATTCTGCAGGATTTAACAAGAGAAAGAAGTAAGTACCTTTTATGAAAAGGACTTTCAAGCTCTCTGAGCCCACAATTTAACTGTAACAACTTTACTGAAGTGTCTCCATGTCTATCAAATCCTTAGCACCTTGCTCCTAGCAGCCAGAGGGATAAGAGCTGTGTGCACTGGGCATTACTTAAAATCCCCTCGTCACAAATGAAATAAGCCACTCTACTTCTCAGGTGAACCCACACTCCTCCAACCTGCCTCCCTGCAGAATTAGCTGTAGGAGAAATAGTAAAGGTCCTGCCTGACCGCCATGAGCAACCCTGGGGATCCTTGGACTCCTCCAAACTGAGACGAGAAGGCCACACTGGGAATGTCAGCCTTGGAGGTGGGGTACGGGGAGGGTATGGTTCTGAGCAGGTGGGCATCATGGAGGCTCCAGATTCTTGTGTAGCAATCTTGGCCCACTAGGAAGGAAAGAAGACACATGGCAGGTTAGTAAGTGAAAGCAAATGAAAAAAATCTGGACATGGCTCCTCATGGGGTAAATGTGATTTGTATGAGCCAAAGAACACAAACTGCAAATATGTACTTCCCAAAAATCAAAGTCCTGAGTTGCCTTGGAGTTGTAGAACATACTTAACTGCACATACTGAAAGCGCCATAACTGGTTGGCTGTGACACTGCAGTACTCTTCAGGGGCATCGTGCTTTCAGTGTCAAGGGCTGTTTAAGTGGGAACCTAGCATGTCTAGTCAGAGGACAGTCAGCTGATTTCTCTTTTTATGAAATATTCACCAAAATCTCTCACCTTAATTATATCCTGGGGGCAAACCAGATAGCTTCTTCATGAGCTCCTTCTGGTTTAAGAAGTTCAAGTTCCTAAGACCAATTAAAGTCTTCAGGGGTCGAAGTTCACAGCCCTAAACATAGTGACCCCAGGGGTTATGACAGCCTGAACATCTGAAGGCCTTCAGCAGGATAGAAGGTGGTTCTTTGGCAGTCATGGATTTCACATTTGAACACGAGTGACTCTAAGACCACAGGCACTGTTTGTCAGTCTCTCTCATTTTTATATTTTAATTTATGTGTTTATTTACTTACTTGAGGCAGAGTCTCACTACATAATTCTGGCTGGCCTTGAACTCAGCAATCCTGCTTAGCTTCCCAAGTGCTGGGATTACAGGCGTGTGCCACAATGCATGACAGTCAACAGTTTATTGATACAGCTAATGGACTACCTAAACCTGCCGCTCAATACAGTTTGGCTCTTCCATTACCCAGCACACAGAAGCTCTTTTGAGATGAACATTTGCAGAAAACAGATTTAAAGGAAAGTAAGTGTTGATGTTGATGAAAACAGTAAATATGCCTTAAGAAAATTCTAATGAAGTGATGCCATGAAAATGTTTCGTGGAATATAAGTATTTTCTGTAGGAACATTAGCCTATGTGAAAATTCACATACACTAAGAACCAGAGGCAGCTATTTCACAAAGAAAAACTCTTTTACCTTGGTGCTACTCTTATTATCCTATGGCTCAGAAATAGTCTGATCTGTAATCAATCTATAACTCTCTTCAAGGGGGCTTAGTAGAGAGAAGCTTCTATTCTACTGATCATGGCTAGTGTGAAAGGGACAGGGAATTCTTTACTTTTCAATGCCCTTCATTTCTTTTCTCAGCATCTTCTTGTGGACATGTGAATAGAAAGAACAGGAAGCAAGTTTCTAGACAGGACAGTGTATGATGGGATGTGACCCCCAAATCCTGGTGCCTGAGTAGCTGCTGTCTTGCTGTACCCTTCACTACGTTCTTCTAGAAGGCTGTCCAGTTGCTGGATGTGTATAAACTATTGCTTACCAATATCCAACTCTACTTTCCTGTGAGTCTTCCTACCCAGATGCTGACAGTCCCTATCTATTTTTGTTTTTGAGCAACTTCTCCCTCTGCCACCTGGAGCGCTGGAGGGCTAAGGGATGGAATCTCCCCTTCCCCAAGTACCTGCCACCAGGATCCCTTCTTCCTCATGCACATGCAAGGGCAGGCAGGCATACTCATTCACGTGACCTTCGTACTGCCTTATACACTTCTTGTTCCTCAGGTCCCACAGCTTGATCTGAGGAAAGAACACAACAGATCATTAGGGAGGGTTTTACAGGCGTATCAGTGAACATCAGGGCAGTCTCCAGTGGCCCCTTTAGGTTATGAAGATCTGTACCTCCAATTCTTAAACCTGAGTCCATCAAAATCATGCAACCAGCAACCCACTTCTGTGGATCACCTATGACTTCTTCTTGCCCAGGGTCTTGATACAGAACCCCTTTGCAGAGCACACACAGGGTTGGAAGAAATCAGTGTTCTCTACCTTTCCAGCCATGTCTGATGCCAATATAGATTGTTCTTCCTGAAGGATCCGCAAAGAAGTCACTGCTGAGTCATGGAATAGGCAGGTGGTCTTCCAGCTCTTGCCCTGACTTCGAGAACGCAGATCAATGGCAAAGATCTCCCCAGAGCGGCAGCCATTAAACAACAAAGGAGTCTGTGGAGAGAGGGACTGCTAAGTACCTGAGGATGGTAAGGCTGTGTCCTCTCACTTGCCAGCCTAGCACAGGGTGCCATAGGCTGGCTTGGTGGGAAGCTGAGTCTCAATGGAGTTAGAAGGGACAAGGAGGCCTTGTGATGGGGTAGAACTGGACTTCAGGTCTACTCCATTGTGGGGAGCTTGGAAGCACCTATTTTTCTTAGCCCCCGTCTCAATGAAGCCTGAGTGACAGCAAAGACTGGTGAGGAATGTGGACTAGGAGAGCAGGGATCCAGGGAAGGCATGATTTTCTGGGCTAAAGGTCTGAATGGTAACTGTCTCCTACTCAGAGCGGTCAGCAGACGCCCACTTCTATACTGCTGGAGATACAGGGCAAGTCTTGAAATACAGTAATGACCAAAATTCTCATGTTTATGCATATAAAATGTGCACAATAAAAGCTGTGTATAAGGCTAAGGATTAGTATTTCACATGCATATTTTACTTTTTTGTGGAGCTAAGGGTTGGAACCCAGGGCCCTGAACATGCTAGGCATGCACTCTACAACTGAGCTACACCCAGCTGCACCTTACACATTTTAACATGATTTGTCCTGCTAACCTAAACTAAAAGGTTGCTGAGAATTGATTTAGACAGGAAGTTAGTTAAATCTAGCTCAGACAGGCCTTCCAAGATCAGCCAACCTTCATTCAGCTCATATTCACATCCTTTCCATTGTTCTGTAAGAGGAAGGAGGTCTATATGCCAGACCAGGGAATCCAACTTCACCCCAGCAAACTTTCTATTACACCCTTCCCAATTCAACCAACCAAGATAGCAAACTGCTGGGCCAAGACATCACTGTTGGTCTTGTATGACTGTCGGTGTCCTGTCACTACATCGGTCAACAGGATCCGCCGAGACAAGCCTGGTAGACAAGGTTGGAAAGACAGGCATCATTGGCAGTCTAAAAGAGCTGTTGGTTGGGGTTTAGAGTCCGAAACCCACTACTACAGTAGGCAGCCACAGCTCACCAGTACTGAAGCAAGTGTTTGCCTGGACGTTCAGGCACCATGCACAGGACCAGGCACCAGGGATCCGGAAACTGCAAAGCATGCCACGGCGGTCCACACCTGCTGAGCAGAAGAGAAAGTGAAGCATGGCTGACCTTTATGCCTGGGGAGCTTCCTGGGACGCTGCCAAGCCAGTGGCCACTGGTGAAAATGACCAGACCACCTGCCACAGCCTAGGTGCATCCTTCAGAATACACGTTTGGAGATGTAATTCTCAAGTCATAGCTGATGGCAATGGGAAAGGGAGGGTGCTTTGGGAGATATCTAGGATTAGATGAGGAACAAAGATGAGGCCTTCATAGTAGCATCTGCAGATTTATCATAAGACAGACCCTGGCTCACAGGCTTCATGTTTCTTCATGGGTGACTGCACCGAGCCTGGAGGTAGCAAGGCGGCCCTCACCAGTTGTTGGTGCCATACTTGGCCTTCACATCCTCCAGCACCATGAGCACACAACCCTCTGTTCTTTATGGTCACCCAATCTGTGGTACTTAGTTATAGCAAGGCAAAACAGACCAACAGAGGATCTATACCTTGGTCCTTTTCTAAGTTTTATGGTAATAAGAGAGACTCAGCTCAGCTAGGCACCTAGCTCAGAGTTATTCTTGTTTACAAATCCAGGTTGTGGAGTGCATAGTACTAATGGGAGGCCGTGTCGTTTCATACAGAAAGCAATTTTAGTCCTGGATCAAACTACCTGCAGCATGCTCTCAAGCAAAACATTTAAAAAATACACATTTGTACCGACAGAAATCAAAGATACATACAGTAACTGAACAGTGAATCTGATCATTTGCCCACTACCCAGGTTAATAGAGAAAGTATGTCCTTGCTCCATTCCTACCCAAAGGGAACTGCTGTAGTGTATTGGTAACTGGTGATCAGTCAACTTAAACACCAACTGAACTAAGTCAGCATGGTGCTGAGTGTAGACCGTCCAGCTGAGGACTGTTGTCAGTATAAACAGGACAGCTAGAGAGAAAGAGCAGTGTTTTGGGTTCTCCTGGAGGAGCTTATCATATCGGCTTCCTGATATGAACCCAGTTTTTATCATCAGTGGAGCTCAGGACCTTGTTGCTGAGAATGGCTGTGGTTCACTTTGGGGAAGCTCTGGTCCTTCCTTTGATCATCGCTTCCTGGCTCGGGAGGGGAAGATAATGTGCTGTTTAATCTCCAGAAGTCTGTCACACTGGCTTCCTGATATGTACTCGACTCTTACTGGAGGAGCTTGTGACCTCACTGTCACTGAAGATAGCTATGGTACTTTTGGAGGCAGTCCTGGCCCTTATTTTGAGTGTTCTGGCTCCACTGCAGAATGCTCAACCTACTGGCACAGCTCCTTCACCCCACTGGCATAGACTTCCTAACTTCCACCACTGAGCTTGGGGTCTTCCCAGTGCAGATCCATGAAATAGACTTGCATAAGTCATTGTTATGAGATCTAGGTTTTTGCCTCAACTCATGCAGGTTATGTGGGATCCAGGCCCTTGCCTGGATTTTCTAAGTCTTTAGTGTTGTGAACAGATTTCCTGCACTTTCTTTGTATCTGACTCCTTGGGTTATCATTATAAATAATACTATAAAATACTGTATCCTGTATTGTCTTGTTTCCTTACAAACCCTGACTACAACTGCTAACCTGAGGTTTTTTTATTCTGAGTTCTAACATTAAAAATTAGTTTTGTGGGGCTGGGGACTTAGTTCAGTGGTACGTAAGATCTTAAGTTCAACTCCCATAACCTCCCCCAAAATTAGTTTTGTGAGGCAAATTCTAACCCTCTTTTATCTCAGTTTCTTCATCTGTAAAATGGTGATAGACATACTTCTGCCTCCTGAGCTTATTGTGCAGTGAAATGCCAGGCACTGGGCTAAAGGTGCACAGCCTCATCGGATTCTGCATGGAACCTGATGGGGCAGGCACCGTCCTCACTGTGTGGAGGTTAGGACATCTGTTCAACTGGGTAAGGGGCAGTGCTAGGATCTGTGCCACATGTGCCCACTTCTCAGAGCTGATGCTTGTCTTGGGTCCCAAGTTTATGGAAGACTGAAAACTTTATATCCAGAATGCTGCCAGAAAAAGTCTAACTGATTTCAGTAAGACAGGTTGTACACTTACCCCTAGCAGTGCCTGCCATACACAAGCAGTAGGTGCTTAAGGTGTCTTCTGAATGGTTAGCATGGGCAGCCCAAACCAGTTTTGATGTCTCATGTAGATTACATATGTTTTAATGCCATTCTGGCTGCTGCTGGGATCAACAAGGGATACAAGCAAGGTACACTACTAGAAGTGTATGTGACCTAGTAATGACTGGACTGTGGAACAAGCTCATTGTCTCAGCATGGCGCCACTCTGTGCTCTGATCCAGGGTTGCCCAACCTCTGGCTCCCACAGCTCCTCTCTGAGCCCCGCCTGCAGTTCCTGGAAAGCAGAGAACAGAAACCTTCCCAGAGACATTGAACCCTGTACCTGGGTGACTACTGGTGAACAGTGATGCTGGGATCAGAGTGGCACAGCCCGGAGTCTCTGCAAATCCCAAGAGGCATAGCCTGGAAGAAGCTGTTAAGGGCAAGGATCTCCAGAAGAAGAACATCATACCCAAAACTTACCAAAAAACAACAACAACAACAACAAAACAAAAAACCCCACCACAATAAAAATTTAAAAAATAAAAACCCTACAAAACACATGAACTAGGACAATGAATAACATTGACCATCCAGCTCTAACATGATTACATTTTCCTATTTAGTCTCAGATTTTCTTAAAGGGAAAAAAAATGTCACAGATATCCTTCCCCAGTCCAAGTCTCTCCTTTCCCCCACCCAGGCGGTAGCACTATTCTCAAAGTGGTGTTTTTCTAAGACTTTGTTGTAATGTTTGTAAATACACCATGATCTAAAGTGCGGTTTATGCTTTTAAAATGTGTAAGAGAGCACATGGAACATCTGCTCCAACTTTCCAATCTCCACTGTCTCCTAGACATACCTCTGCTGATCTCAGTCCTGCCTTGTGGCCACAAAGTCCAATTTCTAACTGCACATTCCTTCTTGGCTTCTAGCCCACCACTTTCAGAGTCCCATCCTGGCGTGTTCTCCTGTTACCTGATTCTCTGGCTAGAATGGAGGTTTCTTTTAGATTCTTGGCTTCTCCTTCAAGCCTGCAGCATTATCCTGTCACTACTCTCTTCTTAAGGTCTTGTGGCAGCCTCTGATGAAGTCTTACCCTTGCTAGTCTACATCCCCACACTGCTATCAAGAATCTTTTTAAATGTGACTCCACAATTACGGCCCTTAGGGGCACTCCACAGCTCTGATGACTCAGTCTTGGAACACTATCAAGCTGCAGGCGTCATGGGAACACCAAAAAGCTGCCAAATACACCAGTTCCTTTTCTGACTCAACCTTCTGCTGAGAGCTCCTGTCTCTCCCTTCCCATGTGGGCATAAATGAGGACTCTTGTATTCCCATGGCATTCAAATGCCCTCACAGATTGACCACCTGTTGAGCTGCTTGTCTCCAGAACTTTGCAGAGGGACTATATATACATGCCCAACAAACATTGGTTGAATCCACTAAAAAACATTAACAAACCATCAAGTTTGCATTTCCATCAGCTCAATGTGGACTGTGTATGTGACCTCTGGTGTAAGCCCAATGTTTAATAGTATCTTTAGTCTATAGACATTGCTAAAACCAGATACTGGGCAGTTCAATTTCTTCCTAAATAAATCTTTTGCTTTTGGGTTTGGAGGAAGGGTAAAGGAAGAAACCCTTATCCATGTGCACTTTTACTTACTGTGGCTGAAACCCAGGTCACATTCAAACTTTGCATGGTAATTACAGGGGCAGGACAGCATGGCACAGTTAACTAAGGGTCCAGTTAAGTAGAAAAAAATTCCTGACTTTCCACCACTCTTGGCCGGAAATGCAAAATGTAGGTCTGAACAAGGATGCAGTTTTGAAGAAGGTGTTCTTTTTCATAATGGAACTTTTGTGGAAGCACAAAAACCTAAAGTGGACCTGGAATAACCATCAGTTGGCAAGCCACTACCTGAGCCAGGACAGACTACACTTTAAAATTACATTTCATCTAGCCTTGGCCAGAGAATGTGAAAAAAACACACACTTCTTTACAGTCAGAAATGAGAGTGAGGTTCCCATTTCCTCTCTGTAAAATGTGGCCTTTTCTTCCTGTCAGATCAGTGTAGTAACAGGTGGTCCTACCACTCACCAGAGTCCCATCAGACAACAGTCATGTGAAACTGCAATTTACAGAATGCAGTTTTATGTCTTACATAAAAATTATAATCAGATCATTAATAGACTTCATGGCTTAAATTCTTTGAAATACAGTCCTGTTAAGCAAGTAAAAATAAAGGTTCTGATTCAGCTTCCATTTGTTGAGGGCCAATGATGTGCAGAAACTGTGGTATACTGCCCAGAATGAACATTCATCTCATGACAGCTTGTAAAGCAAATGCTACATGCACAGGCAGCACACAGGTTTAAGAACACATTTGTTATGGGCTTTGTCTTGCTTTCTTTTTTCTCACTACTGGGACAAAATACCCAATACCTAAAATTAAGAAAGGAAAGTTTTATTGAGCTCATAGTTTGTTGGGGTTATAGTCTATAATCAGTTGGTTCCAAGGCAGGGTGGTGTGGCAGAGGGACAACAGTTTATGGCAATGAAAACAGCAAAAGCACTAAGAGCCAACAGGGAGGAGCATGGAGAGAAGGCTCCTTCTGTCTCTTGTAGTGTATGTAAGCTACCCATAATTCCAACCCTGGACCCACAAATCAATCACAAATTCTAGAAGCCCATCCCTGTGACTGTAAGAGGCTTAGAGGGATTACCTAGACACAAACGGTAACAGGCCTGAACTAGGAACAAGCATCAACATGTGGCTTTGGGTCAAACAAGGCCTATGTAGTATTAAAAGCCCAGACGTCCCAGAGGTACGACTGGGCCCCATAACAACCTACACCACACTGTATTCCTAGCAAAACAGCCCTAATGGTCATCTGGTAAGGTAATGACTAGAATGAAGAGTGTGCCACAAGAGGCTGTTCCTAGGCCTCTGGGCCCACAGATCTGTACAACGTCAAAGAAATCCCTTTCTCTTACCTGGATTTCAGCATTGCTGGCAGGAGCAAGTCCTTAATGACCACTGTTTTCCTCCTTCACTGCTGGACTGAGGGCTCCTTCCTAAGGCTGTGCTATTCCTTTCTCTTTTACTCCTCTGCCAAAGCACCGACTCTCTGGCACAGATGCTGGGTGTGTGGCCCAAAGCCCCAGGTCATAGTGGTAGAGCAGGAGGCTCTGGAGCCAGCAGTTTGTGTTCTGATCCTATCTCCTCTACTAACATGTGAAGTTCCAGAACTGTCTGACATATAGAGACATAAACATCACCTACCAGGAGAGTCATCATAGGATCTTACTTGCTGTTCTGTGCTTCACAGAAATCCCTGTTGTCTACCTAGGGGCACAGTTTTCTTCTAGAGGGTGAGACATTAAGACACCGTCATTAAGATGCTATCTTTTTTTATTTTTGTCTTTTTCGTTTTTATCGGTACCAGGGATCGAACTCATGACTACCTGCTTGCAAGGCAGGTGCTTATTTCGCTGAGCTAAACCTCCAGCCCCCTAAATGCCATCTTACAAAGCCCATAGATCCCAAGTCCACACTAAAGGATACAGAACGTGGGAATCCAAGTGGTTCAGTGAAGCCCAGCATACAGAATTCACCTGGTGAAGAAACACACAGCAGGATGGCAAGGTTGGTTTGACTTCGAGCTCATGGACAGAAATGGCCAAATTCTCAGTAGTTACTCACACAGACACACACACAGAACTTCTTTGTGACTGTTTGTTGTTGTTGTTGTTCTTTTTGAGTCAAGGTTTTGCTATCCAGTTCAGGCTGGTCTTGGCTCCCACATGCTGGGATTATAGACACATGCCACCACACCCAGCTCACAGCTAAAGGTGGGCTAAGAATGAGCATTTGGAGGACAGGAGAGCTTCCTGCCCTGTGATATGGGGCCTCAATAGGGCCAGAAAGAAGCAAACCCTAGACCCTTCTGCATCAGCATGTATCCTACATGAAGAAGCCTGTATACTCACCAGCTGGGGCTCAGTTTTCCACAATGGCAGGGAACAAACCTAACTCCAAAGCTGCCCTGTAGCTTACTTTACTCACAAGCCATTTGAATCTGTGTTGGCTTCATATCTCTCATGTCCTAACCAGAAAATCAACAGCTTGTCAATACCCAACTGGAATCTACAGGTCACCCATAGATAGTGGGCACCTTTATTTAAAACTCATTGGTGGCCACAGACTGGCTTGGTGATGGATGTACTGATTCGATATACAGAGGAGAGACTCCTTCACTTGGGTCAAAGTCACATAGGATGTGGCCCACATCCTGGAAACTCCTGACATTCCCCGAGGGAACACTCTTAGAACCAGGTAAAGCAATGCTACCTTGAGTCTACCCCAAACATCTAAGTTAATTTTCTCCTTCAACACAAGATACTCCTTGGCTCCTTTTCTTTTCCTATGGGCCTGTAGGTCCATAGAAACCAACAATCTACTTGTTACTTAGAAAAATGAAGTAATTGTGCCCTGCCTTCTTCACAAAGTAACGGTCAGCTAGAAGTACCAGATGACATACCTTGCGGTTGGTGAAGTAGAAGTTTTTATGCATGTGCACCTCAAGTGCAGGAGTCTTTAGACCACTCAAGTTGATGACACCATACTTTGAGCCTCCAACATCAACATCGTTCACTGTGAAGAGTCGGTCACTGTTGGTATCCGCCTGGAGGGAAGAGGCTGCAGGTGACTTCTCATGCTGAGCCAGGAGCTAAGCCCACACACCCAGCTCCCTTGGATTCTAAACTCTATGCATCTTCCCCAGGTGACAGCTCCTCTCCATGAGTGAACATGAGGATGAGCTAAGTTTCTTTCACTCCTTATTTGCAAAGCTCCTGGGAAGCTGTTTTACTATTTCAAGAGCAGGGAGTGGGATTAGGATGATAGAGGTAGGGCATGTGTGATCACGAAGACTGAGGTAAAGTAGTGACCCCTTGCTCTGTGGGAGGTAGTTTGAAGGGTCCAGTGTCAGCCCATAAAACATACCATGTGGCCATCATGAAAACCACAGTGACAGGAATATAGCTCAGTGGCACAGGTACCTGCCCTGAAAACGTGAGGTCATGAGTTTAATCCCCAGTACCAAAAAACAAAACAAAACACAAAAAAACCATAGTGACATGGAAAATACTATTATAATTGTGTCAAGCAGGATACCAAACTGTATTCCTATTACCACTGTCATTTTGTTGATTACCAATGAGAACAAACACTGCAGGGGTTTTTAGCAGCAGTGAGGCCCTTGGTTTGATCCAAGTCTCCAAAACAATTTTAAAAAAAAGAAAGAAAAAAAGAAAAAAGAAACATGTATGCATAAAAGAAAATGTACATTATACAGAATACATTGAATAAAAATATAGCAGAAATACTTGCAATAGGATATGGGCTATTTTTAAATTTTCTTTTTTTAAATTTAGAAATGAATAGTTACTAATCCAAAGCAAAAACTTCCTATACATTCACAGCTCTGTGTGTACTGCTACACATACAAATACACGCATAGAGCTTTGGATGCCACTGAGCCTGCACAGATTCTGCAATTTCACTTGAGTAGAAAAGTTATGCTCCTGAATGAACCACTGGCAATGACCAGAACTTGATCTGAAATGGTGATCTATGATGGTGAATTCTTTTCCCAGCTGCTGGGTTACAGCAGCCACCCAGAGCCACTTGTGACCTGGGTGATGAGAAAAAGCTACCACAGCAGTGTGCAATGAAGGGCAGGGGCTGGGGTGTTCAGGCTTGTAATAAGCAGTGTGCAGCACTAGACTCCGCATACTATGACATTCACCAGCCCCTCCCAAGTTAACCCAGTGATGGGCAGCCCACTGCAAGAATATAGTTTACTGACTCAGGTATAACTGTACCCTCAAACACACCTAAGACTAAAGCCACAGCAGAGAAATTGAGCCCTGTCCCTAATACCCCTTACTTGGAAAGGCTCTGTTGTCAAGTTGCCCTGGGGCAAGAAGGCTCAGAATCAACCTCATGTCTAAGGCTCAGCCTCAAGTCCTGTCAAGATACATCTCTCTGTCTCTCCTCTCACTCTTCTAGGCCTTTGGAGAGGTGAAGCTCCTTCACTTGCAGAGGACTCACTAGCTCTCTGCCACCATTTCCCTGGTCCCTGAGCTCTAGCACTTAGTCCTGGCTTCCAGCCCAGGTGTAATGAAAAGCAGAGGAAACCTTCTAGACCTTACAAATGATGTGACAGAGATGCTGATGTACAGGCCTGGAGGCTCAAGACTGTAGGCCCTTGCCAAGGATAGTGAGCAAAGGAGTCAAAGCCTGTTGAAAGAGAAGGTACACTAAAGCTTCAGGTTCAGCACCAAATTGTACCCAGGAGTAGGATGGGCCAGAAGCCCCAGGTCACAGTAATATGGTACCCTTCTTCAGTTGTATTTACAGTCCAGCCAGGGAGAAGTTATTTTACTTCTTCTGTAAGGGCTCTTAGCCAATTGTATAGTTGGGTCCAGGATCTATGTCAAATGCCAGAGCTGGAGAGAGGGTGACGATGGTCACAGCACAGCCTCCCTGCCAACTCAGCAACTACCTAAGGGTGGCCAGAAGGTAGGTTCAAATTGTAAAGCCAAAAGGATAGTGCCTGCTTTCATAGTGATTGGCTTGTACACAACCAGCCTGACGATCAAGCATGAAGCAACCAGGACATCCACAGGCAGCCCTCCAACTCACCAAGATGAGGCTGAATGGGTCGCTTATCACAGTGGAGGACTCTGCGCTCTGAATGTGAACCTTTTTCTTCTCCATGCAGCTCACTCGCAGCTCATGGGCTAAGCTATAGACAGAAAAAGAGACACAGGGATGGAGGGATGGACCCAGAGCAGGACACCCATGCTTAAGATTCAGAAGCCATATGTGACAGTAAGCACCTGGATTCCAAGCTACTTGGGAGACTGAGGCAAGAGGACTGTTTGAGCACATGAGTTAAAAGACTAGCCTGGTTAGCAGAATGAGTCTGTGTCAAACAAAAAACAAAAACCAGGCTAAAAACCAGGCTATGTACTACTTCTCAGCAGTGAAGCTGAGAGCCCCCAAATTCTCAATTTTAGCTTTCTCATAAAACACTTAGGAAAACTAAAACAAAGCACTGTACAGTCCTTCCCAGGTTCAGAGAATGTCAGAAGCAAAGGGTTACGTTCCTGGACTGCCAAGTACAATGCCTTCTCTTGGGATGAAGACAGTGTACCTGAGGAATGACTAACAGGCTGAAGGACGCAGGGCAAATGGAAAATACGCTGGTGTGTAGACACCCACCTCACTGCCTCTACACTGCAAAGGGAAGAGATACCATTACCTCTGCCCTTCTCAGAATCAGAGCAACACAGGGCACCTGCCTTGCTGGACAGCTCTTATATGGCTGGGGCCCCCTAACGGGGGTGCTACTCCTAGGTGAGATAATTGAGCCTCAGTAAACTGCATCAGCCACTTGGGAGGCACAATAAGGGAGGAAAAGGGTTAGAGCTCAGATGCCAGAATCAGACAGATCTTGCCTTGTTGGTTGTTATCTTGAACCAATTGTTTCACCTTCAGCCTAAGTATCTTCTTTGGGAAATGGGGGCTGGGAACTTAGCTCAGTGGTGCAAGCGCTTGCCTGGTAAACATAAGGTCATGAGTTTGATTCCCAGTACCAAAAGAAAAAAGCCAAGCGTGGTGGCTCATACTTGTAATCCCAGCACTCGAGAGGCTGAGGCAGGAGGATCGTTGCAAGTTCGAGACCAGCCTGGGCTACAAAATGAGCTCAACGCCAGCCTGAACCGCATAGCGAGACCCTGTCTCATGAGGACAAAAAAAAAAACGGGTATGGGGGTGGATGGAAGGGAAGTACCACCCTCTCAGTTTTAGCTGGAATTATATCAGGCATCACAAGCACTTTAATACATTTCATTAGAACAGGAAAGAGGAGACAGAAATCTCAAGGAATGAAGCTGCTAGGAGGATCAGAGTAACCAGTTTGATTTTTGTCTGAGTCCTCTTTTCGCCCTACCACACTTGAGAGGATGAATCTTCTGGAACTGGTGTATGTGGCAGCTGGGTGCACTGGGGCTCCTCATCTGCAGAATCTACACAGAGAACCCTATCAGCTCTCCTGACTGGATTCTTAGACCACAGAAACAGGAAACAGGGAAGAATGCCAGGTGTGGTAGTGCATGCTTGGCATCCCAGTTCCTTAGGAGGCTGAGGCAGGAGGATCAAAAGTTTCTGAGGCCCAAACAAAGCTTTTGTAAATGAGGAGGGAAGGAGAGGTTCAAGGAAGGGTAGGGAATGGGCGGGTGGGTGATCAAGTTACGTCATGTAAAGTACAAATTCTCTATGATGAATGTGATCATTATGTATATCTAAAACGTACTCATAAAATCTGATTGAAGAAAAAAAAAGTTTGAGGCCAGCCTTATTAATTTAGTGAGATACCAAAACAACAAACAGCTGGGGTGCAGCTCAGTGGCAAAGAGCTTGCTTAGCATATGTGAGGCCCTAGGTTCAATTCCTAGTGCTGCAAAAGAAAAAGAAAGCAAAGAAGAAAGCAGAGAAAGACATTCATGAAGAAAACACAACATCAAAGTACTAACTTACCGGCAGTAACCAGTGAAGTTGAGAAAACCCAGCTGGCTTTTCCGTAGGAAGGAGGATGTATTAAATCCCATTCTGGCCGCTTTCTAAATTAAAGAAAGACTCAATGAAGACTTATTTGTGTTATAGGATAATAGAAATGTTTTATCTTCACAGGACTCATTGGAGACTTGTGTTAAATGGACAGAAATTAGCTAAGCGCTTGCCTGGCATGAGGTCCTGGGTTCGATCCCAGGTACCAAAAAAAAAAAAAAAAAAAAAAAAGGCAGAAATTAGATACATAAAAACCTGGCAATGTCTTTGGCAAATTAGAATTCTATCAGAATTATAGTTACTTCCTCCTCTTGGTAGGGGGGAAAACCCAGGTATGGGCTGGACAGTCTACACCACATCCCTGTCTGAGGGCCTGGACAACTGAGCCCAGGAGGAAGCTGCCATGCCAGCAAGGGCACAGCAAGAGATGAACTCTGCATCTGGGCTGCATGTACCCTTCAACCCCCAGGGCGATCCTGAGGACTGGGTTTCCCTCCTGCTGTCCTACAACCAACAAAACATCCTGGCATGGAAATCTGTCCCCAAGACTGCCCGGGGCACCCCAACCACACACACAGCCCAGGCCCATGTCCTAATTTCCTATTTGAAACATACAGAGGCTCAACAATCCACTGTGCTGCTTCTCAAGACACCCCAGGGCAGGACTGTTGTCTAGAACTACTGATGCCATTTAGAAGCAGAAAAAGCTGGGTAGGTGTAGGATCAGGGATCTCTTGCTGTTCTTATTTTCTTCCATTTCCCTGTCAGAGGAAGTCGGGGCCCAACTCCCCATATGCCTCTGCTAAGTGCCCAGGGCATCTAACTGGCAGGTGAATGCTGGCAGGAGTGGAGAGTAGGTAGCTCTCTGAGGAAGAGGAGCGCACCTTTTTCTTCTTTTCCTCTTCTTCTAGCAGTTGCAGCCTTTTGCTCTCCATTTCCTTTTGCCGGATGCTCTCTTTTGTGAGGGGGTTGCAGTTGTTATGTCCCGGGAGCAAGCGGAAGTAGCGGTTCTTTTCAGGATCAAAATAATACCCTGGTAGATCTTTAATAAATAAACATTAAATTCAGCAACTTAAAATGCTGGGAACCGACCCACCTAAGGAGGAGCCCAGCTGCCTGTCTTTTTCTGAGGGCCAGCAGAGTCTGACACGGTCAGTCTCTATCCTGGTCTGAGCTTAGTCCTGGAGGAGACCATCTGCTCTATCATTGTTCCTGTCACTACAGCTCCTCCAACTTGCTTCATGGATTCCCTTCAAGTCAAGAATGCACTGGTGACTTCCATGCAAGTAAGGAGACACAGACACATCTGAGTGTGGCTGAGGAGGAAGAGTAGCAGAAGAGACAATACCAGAGGACCTGGCAGGGGAAGCCTTCCTCCACCATGGCTGCTGGGCCAGAGAAGTCTTTTCCAACAATTGCCTTACCTGGTGCAGAAGTATCCCCAGTAGTGTTGGATGAGGCCGAGGGGCACTCCTCATCACTGTGGTCAGAATCCTGAGCTCTCTGCTGTGCCCCTGTTGTACACCTAAGGACATATGGCTGTGATGACTGCAGTGAAGGGCCTGAGTTCCCAATTACTCAGACTGGGGAATCCTACCCAGGCGATTCTGCATCCTTTGCCCCTTACTTTCTGATCCCTTTAGAACTTACTATAAAAACATCAAAAAGAGGGTGATTTTGGTTTATCTTTTTTTTCCCTCAGAGAATATGTATGTCACAGTAATTTCCTCTTCTCATTTGCGCCTTTTGTGAGGTCTTCTGGAATCTTTCAGGTAAAAAGTAGAACAGAAATCTTTGCCAAAAAGAATTTTACCATCCAGGCTCATTTGTCAGCTCAACAGCAATTATAAGGCCCGGTGAGTTTTGGATTTAGTAGAAGAGTTTAAACTGCACCTGGTTAGCCTATCTCACAGACAGAGAAACTGGGGCTCAGAGAACAACGGCACAGGAATTTGCTCAGTGATAGACACAGAGCCACAGCTAAAACAGTGGCTTGGTAAACCATAAGTAGTTTGTGTTAATTACAGATTGAAGGATACAGTGATAAAGCAAAAGATCTTTATTTAGAATCCTGATAAAATTCACTTTAAAATCAAGAATTTTGGGCTGAGAATATAGCTCAGCGGCACAGCACCTACCTGGCAAGTGTGAGGTCTTGAGTTCAATTTGCAGTACACACACACACACCAAGAATTTTTTTGCTGTTTTTTTGAGACAGGGTCTTGTTGAGTAGTTCAGGCTGGCCTTAAACTTACTATGTAGCCCAGAATGGCCTCAAACTCACAGTGATCCTCATGCCTCAGCTTCCCAAGTGCTGGGATTACAGGCACCACCATACCCAGCCTAAATCATTAATTTCTCCCCTACACACACATACTAAAAGGAATATGAGGGGCAAAACTAGGGTAAAGGAATGATAAAACATTCTTTCTTTCACAAATACTAGTGTTATGTATAGAGTTTCAGGGAAAATTATTTACTCCCCTCTTCCTGGCCTACAGCTTCCTGAGGCAGTTCATCTGTGATCAGCAGGAAGAGGAAGGATTAAGCACCATGACAAATGTTTGTTTTTCATCCAAAGGCTGCTGCTCCATTCTTTCCACATGGAAGAGCCCAGAAGGTAGATGTGCTCAGCAGGTTTCCAAGCCACTCAGCCCAAACTTTACAGGGACTCTTACAGTGATCACATTTTATGATACACTGTGCTCTTGGGGATAGCTAAGAGCCCCCAAAAAGTATCCATGGTCTCCTTATAAAACATGCAAACACTGAGCAAAGTCCTGACCTTTCTGCAACACTGGCCAAATTTGAGGATTTCTACCCAGTGAGACTCACCATGTGCTGCTATTTGGAACCAGGTAGCTTTTTAGGGCTTTATATGCACTCCTCTGTAAGAGGTTATTTTATCTGTTTCATATAAGAAACAGTGTCACAAAGTGCTGAGGTACGTGACCCAGTTGCACAAAAGAAAGCAGAGCTCCTGAGTCTAAAGTCCTTGTTCCTTCTATAACTCCCAGGGCTTCTGTTACTGTTTGGGTTAATTTTGTCCACAGAAGCATCTCGATACTTGACATCTTATGGTCTCGTAACTAAGAAATCTGTCTGTTGCACCAGGTGTAGTGGCAAATGCATGTAATCCTAGCATTTGAAGCTGAGGCAGAAGGACTGCTACAAATTCGAGGCCAGTTTGGGACTAGTGAGACCCCAAAAAACCAAACACACACACACACAACCTGTCTGTTTTAAAAGGAGGTCTGAACCAGAGGAGAATTTAAAATTTGACAGCGATTTTCTGTTAGTCGATTCTAAATACTCTGTAATGCTGTCATTCTCTTAAATGGTTTTACATTGTTTTGATATACTTAATGCTACAGTATACGAAGTTGTACTCAAGGATTTCAAGGAAAGAGACAATATGGTAACTACTTTTAGGTCAGGATTATCTGGTGGTGAAACACTATTCTGCTTAAATGGTTATGTTTTGATCTGTGCTGTTTCGTTGTTATGCCCTCTTTTATCTCAATCTCCACTCCATTATTTACTTTTATAATACTTTTTAAAAATTTTTATCCTTTTAATTAAAGGAAAAAAAATAACAGGATATATTATAGTAACCCACTTTGACTTTCCATTACCTCGATTTAAAGCCCTGTATTACTCTCACCATCTGGTTTTTAATTGATGTTCCCCTATTCTGTTTTGCTGGATAGTATCAGGTTCGAAAATTTAGGCATCAGCTGTGAAGATAATGAGATTCATTATAACGCCCATTCTCGTTGACTTTTATCTACTTTTGAAGACCTACAATGTCTCCAATGGTTTGGTTTTGTCGGTTTTGTTCTTTACTGTTTTGTTCAATTGTATCATAACTGATGGTATAGGCAATTCTATTAGAGATAGCGGGAGGCATTATGGTAACCATTGTTGATCACCTTGTATTATGTTTTCACATTATCTATTATGTCCACCCTTTTGACTTGACCGATTCTGTTCTGTTATGTCACATTTGGTTTTACTCTCTTCCAAAATAGTAATAAGAACCGTGAGAGCAATGAAACCCAAAATGTGTAATAGTCTTTGTACAAAAGAGAGGAAAAGAAAGTGCTCTAAACTATTTAACTGCATGTATATTTAAGTGTATAAGATAGAATATGATATCACAGAGTTTTATTGGATCATTGAACAGAACTGTTTGCAGTATCATTGATGGAATGTCCACTTTACAAGCTTTAATTTTGTGACTTGAACAATTATTTCTAAGATGACAATATGTAATCCATTAACTAGTAATTTCCTACTGTTCATTTTTTTCTGCAAATCTGTATAACTTGTACCCTTTCTCTGCTTTTTTTTTCTTTTCTCCTTAAATAAAATTAAAAAAAAAAAAAATAAAATAAAATTTGGCAGCTGCATCCATTTTGGTGCTGAGTTGAGCTTGTGACACTGAAGGCTACAGAAAGACAGGGTGGCCAGGAGTCTTGCAGAAGCCCTCAGTGGCAGAGCTTGTATCCTTTCCTGGGACCAGAGAAGTTATCTGGTTTCAAGACAAAACTTCTTTCATGAAGAAAAACAAATGAAATGGAGAAAATATTTATACTGGATGCTTTAATTAAGTATCAACCTTATTTTCTAAGTTGGGTGCTGGATACATGATGTTCATTACATTTAAAATTTTTTTTTCTCTTTTTTGGAGAGTTTCACTATGGCCTTGAATTCCTTATGTATCCAAGGTTAGTCTTAAATTTGGCCCTCCTGTCTCAGCCTCCTGTGTATTTTTTAAATAGACGTTTGTGTATATTCAATATAGTGTTTCATATATATAGACTTTAAAACCACACTAAAATAGAGAAATATGTCACTAACTGTGTAAGGTAATGTCTACCTATAACCATATGGATAACACTCTGACCAGAAGCCACTGCAGTCACTCTGAAAGAAAGAAGAGTGTAGCTGTGCCCCTTCACCTGAGTGGCAGACAGACTCACAGCAACCACATACCCAGGGAGCCTGCTAAGCTACACAGCTCTCCTCAGAACCCGTGCACACAGAGGTGTGAAATGCACTGTAGCACTGGGCAGAGCTGGCTCCTCAGCCCTGGCACACTTGCCTCTCACTGGAACTGTGCTGTCTGAACCAAGAGTTCTGTGGGTGGCTTCTTCTCCCATATCTTTTCCTACTCTGCCTGCTGCTTTTATTCATTTCTGTTCCTAAAAGAGAAAAGAGAATGTCACATATGTCCCTGTGTGTGGGTGTGCTCCCACTTGCTTCTTGGCATCTGTACTTTCCCTGTAAAGAGCACCTCCAGTAATTTCCCATTTCCTTCCCAACACCCTGGAGGGATGGCACAGGTCCTTCTTCCAAAGAAGAGAAGTGATCAGGCATGAATGCCTAACACAGCAATGATGAACCTTTTTAGAGCTTTCAGTGATAACAGAAAATTGGCTGCAGCATGCATGCCATAGGTTTGCCACCACTGCTAGGCTCTCTCTACTCCACAAACATCTGCCTATACTAATTCTGTCTTTCTTTGTGTTGGAGAAACAGGCATGTTCCAGGACCTTTTCAAAGCATATTCTACCTGGCTGTTGATCTCGCACCTCCCCAAGGACTCCATACCTATCTGTTCTTGTATGTTTAATGCCTCCCTCTGTTTGACTCAGCTTATAAACATGCCCAGGTTTTCCATTTGTATGTGTTCCATTTTTGCTCCAAAAGAAACAGTCTGAAAGAATGCTGTCTAAAAACAAATTAGCTGTCTTCATTTCTCAATATCCCGCAACCCATTGGAGCCTGGCATCTCCCTCCACCCTGTTCTGCTAAAATGTTTTGCTGAGGTATTGACTGTCATCACCTCCTTGACAACACCTTCTTGGTGTTCTTTCTGGCCCTTATTCCTGCAACCTAACTATGAAGCATCTCTTCCCTTTGTTGCTGCAGTGTCTTCTCTTGGTTCTCCTCTTGTCAAATACATCTTTTCCTGGGTTCTCCTGGGTCACACACCCCTGTGCTGTCCACAGATCCTCTTCTTTTCTCATTTAACCCCATCCAATTCACCAACACAGGCTCCTCTCCAGCTCACGCACCCTTACTGAGCATCAAGTTCCTATGTTGTTTATTCCTGTCTGTTTCCACAGATGCAGCAGAGTCAAAAGGTTCAGAAGTCATTCATGGGGTGAGGGTATAGCTCAGTGGTAAAGCATGTTCTCAGCATGTGCAAGGCCCTGGGTTCTCTCTCTAGCACCAAAAGAATCAAAGATTCCATGATTTCTTTCTAGACCACATCTGCTCGTTTGCCAATAGATGCTTCCCTCCTCTGTAAATATCATGGCCTTCTCTAATCTGCAAGCATAGCCACTGTATTCATTTTCCTAAAGAACTGTCCCCAAACACCGTATGTATGGGGTTCACCCTGGATCAACTATCCTGTCATGCAGCCAAAGAATAAAGTGTTTATAGTTAAGCTTCAAGCTAAAAGACACTGTGAGCAGTACATATGGTCAGAGTTAAACATAAGCCATGCCGACATAAAATTTATTATTACTACCAATTCCACAAAAAAAAACCTCCCCTTTAGAGTGTGCAGTCTACACATAAACAACTCTAGCTTCTGTCTACTAATCTGGGAATACAGTGAAGATCACACACCCTGGTACTCACTCCAAGCCTTCAGCTCTGGCCCATCAGGAGGCAGAACCATGCTTTTCCTACACCATTAGCCTTAGTGAGGGGCTGCACAAAGAGGACACCATAGACAATGTCTGTAATCACAGTGGTTGGGAGGCTGAGGCAGGAAGACTGCCACAAGTCAAAGGCCAGCCTTGAGCCAGCAGTCCAAAGATAGAGGAAGAACAGTCAAGGAATGCAGAAACTATGGCTGATTTTGAACACATCAACCTCAAGATGTAACAGTTGGAAATAAGGCCGGGGAATCTAGAGAAAAACCAAAACTAAAGATACAGATTTATACATCATATCTCTATCTATCTATATGTATATACTGTACCATTTATGTATGTATATTGAGACTTCAGCTCAAATTTTTAAGTCATATGAAATCCAGCAAGTATCATGATTTGTAGCTCAGTGATTATTTTTGTGGAGCTGGTGATTTGGTGATTGCTTCAAGTGCTTTACCATTGAGCTCATGTTGTTGTTTTTGTTTTTTTTTTACATTTTTTTTTAAAAAAAATCTTATCAGTACCGGGGATCGAACTCACGACTGCCTTCTTGCAAGGCAGGTGCTTATGCTACTGAGCTAAATCCCCAGCCTCTTGTTTTTGTTTTTTGAGTCAGGGTCTTGCTAAATTGCCCAGGCTGGCCTCAAACTTGTAACCTTCCTACACTATTTCCTCCTGCATAGCTGGGATTAGGTGTATGCTACTGTGCTTGGTTGGCTGATCTGTAATTCCTAACCACAGACAGTTTTGTCTATTAGGACACAGTACGGTATCTGGAGACAATTTTGTTTGCCCCACTTAGGCAGGGGGTGGAGGTGCAGAGATGGGTTGCTCTAGTGGGTAAAAGCTACGGATCCTGTTAACCATCCTAGGCCCAGTAATCTGGACATCCCTTGAGAGGACGACCATAGGAAATGTAGCAAATAGAGGGGATTTCCTTCTACTATCTCTTTGAAGGGAAATACTTTTATCTCTGTTTTGCTTTATTCTAATTAATGGTGTTATTTTAGCCTGATTTGTTTTGTTGAACTTCAATACACATGAAAGTATGGACAGATATCCTGAAGAGAACGAGACTCTACGACAGCCATTAGTGACTTCCCAATTGTCTGGTTTTGAAGACCTAAAATGTCTTCCTCTCTGTTCGGATCAGTTTTTTTTATTTTATTTTTTATTTTTTGTCTTTTTCATTTTTATTGGTACCAGGGATCGAACTCACGACTGCCTGCTTGCAAGGCAGGCGCTTATGCCACTGAGCTAAATCCCCAGCCCTCGGATCAGTTTTATACTATGCTGTTTTGTATGAATTCTCTGTATGCAAAGACATGGACAACTATTTGGAAGAAAACAAGAGACAATATGACAAATAGGGAAGCTCTCAGGTCGTCTAGCTTTGAAATTTTATTATCTCTTACATTGCTTTCTTATGTTCTATTTTGTTCTGTTTTGTTGTATTTAATTTTATACCCTTTAGGGGCTAGGGATTTAGCTCAGTGGCATAAGTGCCTGCCTTGCAAGCAGGCAGTCGTGAGTTCAATCCCCGGTACCGATAAAAAGGAAAAAGACAAAAAAAAAAAAAAAAGAAAACTTAATGAGATCTGGTCTTGAAATAACAAAGCTGGCAAAACAGCTCAGTGCAAGGGCCCAGTTCAATTCTCAACCCTACCCAAGAAGAAAGAGTTATTTAGCCTAAAATAGCACAGGATTGAGAAGCACTACTCTAGGCGGAGAACACCTAATAACAATTTGTTGTGTGAAATGCTAGGTCCAACAATCCTGGAATTGCTCTGCAGGGCATAAACTCTAAAATGTGTTGCAGGAGGCCTAGGCTATGTTTGCCTTTCCAAAAATCTTTTAAGCTTCTGAAAGTGTAAAAAGTAAATTTTAAGAGATGGCTATTCTAAAATAATAAATAAACATGACTTGATTTTTTTGGATTAGGCAATATCTATCAAGTAACTTGTAAAAGTACGTATCTTCTTTGTTTTGGGGATCAATTACAAGAAAATAATCCAAGAACACCAAGTGTGGTGGCTCACACCTGTAATTCCAGAACTCAGAGACTGAGGCAGGAGGATCAGCCTGGGCTACCAGGTGAGCTCAAGGCCAGCCTGAACTGTGTAGCGAGACTCAAAAAAACCCAAAAGAGACTACAAGAGTTAGTGGAATGTGGTGGCACGTACCTTCAGTTCCAGCCACAAGAGGCTGAAGGATGAGGTAGGAAGATTAAGTCCAGGAATTTCAAGCCTGGGCAACACAATGAGATCCTATTTTTTCTTTTTAGTAAAGAAGTTACATAGAAGATATTTTCTACAACTTTCCAGCCTTATGAGGACAACAGTAATCTGATATCAGAATCGGACAACAAAAACATTAGATCATTATATCTTACAAATGTAGAAACAGAACTCCTCAATAAAACGTAAGCAAGGCAAATTCAGGAACATATTACATTATGAACAAGTGAGATTTATCCCCAAAATTAGGTTGGTTCAACCTATATCGATCAATCAATGTAATACATTGAATTAATAGGTATGGGAAAACCCACACAATTTTCTCAATTGCTGCAGAGAAAGCACTAGACAATATCCAACACCATTTTCTGATAAAAACACTCAACAAACTAGAAGAAATTCTCTGAACCTGTTAAAGGGTATCTACAAAAATTCCTCAGACAATATCATCAATGGTGGAAGAGTGAAAGTTTTTCCCTAACAAGACTAACAAGAGGGCTGGGGATTTAGCTCAGTGGCATAAGCACCTGCCTTGCAAGTGTGTGGTTGTGAGTTCGATCCCCAGTACTGACAAAAAAGAAAAAGACAAAAAAAAAAAAAAAAAAAAAAAGACTGACAAGAGAGAGAAGAGAGAAATGTCTGTTCTCTATTCAACATGTACCGGAAGTTCTAGGTAGGTCAACTAGGGAAAGAAAAGGTAATCAAAGAGTCAAAGAAGTGAAAGTATCTCAATTTGTAGATACAGTTTTATATAGAAAATCCTAAAGAATCCATCAAAATCCAGCAAAGTTATAGGATACAAGATCAACTTATAAAAGTTGGGTGTAGTGGTGCATGCCTGTAATCTCAGAACTGGGGAGGCTGAAGCAAGAGGATCATCTCCAGGTTGAGGCCAGCTTGGGCTACATAGTTCAAGGCCAGCCTGAACTACTTAGTGAGACTTTGCCTCAAAAAAATAAAACAAGACAAAAAAAAAATTCAGTTATATTAATGTATATATGGTAATGCAATGAACAAATAGAATGAAATTCAAGTTACACTTACAGCCGGGGATTTAGCTCAGCAGCATAAGCGCCTGCTTTGGAAGTATGAGTTTGATCCTAGGTACAAAAAAAAAAAAAAAAGTTACACTTACAATAGCATCAAAAAGAATGAATTATTTAGGAATATGTTTAAGAAAATAAATGCATGACATACACTGAAAATGATAAAACATCACAAAAAGAAACGAGAGATTGCAGTCCCTACTAAATATCCAGCTGCCTTTTTTTTTTTCTACAATGGAGAAACTCATCCTGAAATTTATAAAGAAATACAAGGGATCCAGAACAGCCAAAACAAATTTGAAAAAGAATAAAGTGAAGAACTCATACATCCTGTGATACTGACATAAGGACAGATATATGTAGATCACTGTTAGTCTTTTTACTTGATGGGCAACTGGATATTTACCTTTAAAATTTAGAGTAACTTTGAGCTGGATGATGTCCATGCCTTCAGGCCCAGCTACTTAAGAACCTGAGGCAGGAGTATTTTTGTTTGACCTTAAAAATTCCAGGCCAGCTTGGACCACATAGTGATATCTTGTTTACTAAAATTAAAATACATCCAAGCTTTAAAACCATCATATCCTAAATTACCCTGGAATAGCAACAAATTTCTTAGATATGACACTGAAAACATGAAAAAAAAAAAAAAAACTGAACTTCATCAAAATTAACTTTCAAGTGTCAAAGGATATCGTTGGTAACGTGAAAAAAAAAACTTACAGAAGGAAATATCTATAAATCATGTAATTGAAAAGGATAGGAGGGCCGGGGATTTAGCGCAGCGGCATAAGCGCCTGCCTGGCAAGCGCAAGGTCATGAGTTCAAATCCCCGATATCGCAAAATAAAAAAAGAAAAAAAAAGAAAAAAAAAAGGATTGGAGATCCAGACCAAAGAACTCTTGCAACTCAGTAAGAAATAAACTCAATTTAAAAATAAGCAAAGGAAGCCAGGCATGGTAACACACTCCTGTACTCCCAGGACTTGGGAGACTGACGCAGGTGGATTGTGGCAAGTTTGAGACCAGCCTGGGCTACAAAGTGAGCCCAAGACCAGCCTGCACCGCATGGTGAGACCTTGTCTCAAAAAGAGCAAAAAAAAAAAAAAAAAAAAAAAAAAGCAAAGGGTAAATATATACAAATCAAAATCATATTGAGAGGGCCAGGGATACAGCTCAGCAGCACAGTATCTGCCTGCCAAGTGTAAGGTCCTAAGTTCAATTCCCAGTACTAAAAACAAACAAACATAATGAGATGCTATGACTGCTACAACAAAAAAACAAACAGAGTTGGGGTATAGCTCAGTGGTAGAGTTCTTATCTAGCCTATATGAGGCCCTGGACTTGATCAACACCACCAAAAAACCAACCAACCAACCAATCAGTAACAAGTATTGGTGAGGATGTACTGCTGTCAGAATGCACAAAGCCCCAGCCATTCAGGGAAAAAGTGTGGCACTTCCTTGAAAGTTTAATTCCATTTCTAGATATACAGTCCGGAGAAGTGAAAACATATGGCTACTAAAAACATTAAACTGGCTGGGTGTGATGACACATGCCTGTTACTCCAGCAACTTAGGAGACTGAAGCAGGAAGACTGCCATGAGTCTGAGGTCAGCCTGGACTACACAGTGAGTTCAAGGCCACCCTGAACTACACAGTGAAATTTTGTTTCAAAGTGAAACAAATCAAACCAAAATTTGGAACTAACTGGTTAATAGTAGCATTTTTCGTAATAGGGCCAAAGCTGAAAATAATCCATTTCCATCAATTGATCAAGGCCTAGACAAAATGTGATACATTCACACAAAAGAATATTATTCAGTCATTGGCAGGTATGAAGTACTGATGGCTGAATGATGTGAAGAAGCTTGAAAACATTAAGTGAAAGAAGCCAGACCAAAAGGGTTACATATTTTACAATTTCATGTACAGGAAATCTCCAGCACAGGCAAATCCAGAGAAAGAAGAGAGTATGATTTATGTTCCATGTATGCTTTTTTCCTTTTCTTCCCTCAAGGCTGAAGAGTCCTATATTGCAGCAATGTGCATTGTCTCCTCAAGTTTGTCTGTTTCAGAAACATCTCATCAAATTGTCAGCTTTCCAAAAACTATAGTACCACCAGGTGCCCTAGTGTATTCCTGTAATCCTAGCACTGTGAGAGGCTGAGGCAGGATGATTCCAAGTTCAAGCCTGAGCCTGGGCCACTTAGCAATTCAGAAAGACTATCTCAAAAAACAAAAAACAAAACAAAACAAACAAACCACTTTAAAAAGTTTGGAAATGTAGTTTAGAGCAAATAACTTAGGTTGGCTTAATCCCCAAACAAAAATAATACCAAGAACCAACAATAAAAACCTGTAGTACCATACATAACACTTTAATATGACAAATTTTAACTACTTAAGAGTTTACTCTGTCACTCAGGCAGCATGTTTATGTATTATTCTGTATCACTCCAACCAGTTTTGATCCCCTTTTTTTTTTGAGACAGGGTCTCACACTGTAGTCCAGGCTGGCCTTGAATTTACTATGTAGTCGAGGCTGGCCTAGAACCCACGCAATTCTCTTGCCTCAGCCTCCTAAGTGCTAAGATTACAGGCATGTACTATCATGCCCAACCCAACCAGTTGGTTCTTGAATTGGATAAATTTGATAAAACTGTTTTTATATTTCCTGTTATATTATCCTATAAAATTAATGAAAAAAATTCACGACTTTTGGTCATCCTGTATTTAAGTAACTGGACTGGTAAGTGGTTAAAACCAGAATCGGGCTGAATGTGACTTTCATTTAAGCCACAACATACACTTTATGCACATCTGTAAACCACTAAGATCTTGGTACTGCGTCTCCCTCATTTTACTTATTAATTTATTTTTGTACCAGGAATTGAACTCAGGACCTTGCACTTACCAGGCAGATGCTGTGTTTCTGAGCTATATCCTCAATTTGATTATACTTTTGTTGAAAAATAAATTTATAAATTAGATTTTTTTTGAGACAGGGTCTCACTATGTAGTTCAGGCTGGCATAAACCCAGGCCAGCAATTGAACTTTTGGAGCTTCTCCTGTCTCAGCCTCCCAAGTGCTGGGATTATAAGTGTGTGCCAACAAACCTGGCTTACAGATCAGATTTGAAATGTCCTGTTTCAATCAAAGAACAAAGGAACTGGTTTCATTAATTAAGAATTTATGGAACAGAATTTGTATGTAATCAGATCCATAGATGATCTTATCCTGGCATCAACGTAGAGGATGATAAATTAGATATTTTAGTTTTTACAGCACCAGCACCTGGATTAAAGTACTAAATACTCTGAAATCCACAACTGAAAAAGTTTACAGAAAAAGACTATACATCACTATGTAAGATACTAAAATGACTGAATATGTAATATTCATTTATTTTCAGTCAGCATTAATTTCTTTCCTTTCCCATTCTGTCAGCGATTCTTTTTAAGGTTAAACACAGCAAGCTAGCACCTAAACACAATTTAGTAATCCTTGGTTAGGTCATTTTAAGGTAAAGAGGAAAGCATGCAGGGTGGGGCATAGGGGTTTAAAATTAACTTTCTTCTGCGTATCCAACTCTTTTTCATTATCTGCTTGTTGATCCTTTCTTAGGTGACAGGTGGGTAGATACTTGCCTTATTCCAGATACACACTTGGCTGACAGCTATTGCTGAAAAGGCAAATATGGATGTACATTATCTAAACAAGATGAATACCTACAGTAGTTCTGCCTCATCATTTTTCATATATTTGGGCGGGCAGGCAGGGATGTGTATTTTGGTAAGCAACAGTTTATGGTAATGCAACAGTAATGATAAACTCTGAAAACACAGTGTTTACATTCTTTATTTTCTACCTTGGAAAACCGTGGAAATAAACCAGCATGGTGGCTAACACATGTAATGCCACCACTTAGGTGACTGAGGGAGAAAGACTGAAAGCAGGACCACTCTGGGCTACATAGTGAGTTCAAGGCCAGCCTGGACTACACAGCAGACCCTGCCTCAGAAAAACAAAACAAAATGAAACAATCCTCTCAGAAAAAGAAAAACAAATCTGAGGATAATTTCTACCATATGAGTTGCAGCACCCATTGTTTGGCTCTGTTAATTAGATTTCTGCCTGTGAAACATGTCCCTTGGATGGGCATTTTTTCTTGGAGGCAGGATCTTGCTGCATTAGCCAAGTTGACCCTGAACTCTGGGGCTAAAGGAATTCTCCCACCTCAGCCTACACAGTAGCTGGGACCACACGCACAGGCCACCACCATGTCAATGTTTCCTTCAGAATCACGTACCTGGCTCACTTTCTCCATCCCCTGCTGTTCACCTCGATGGCAGGCCAGGCCTGTCATTTTTACAATGTCTTTCTCGAGGTTCAACAACTTTGGCTTCCAATCTTTTTTTTTTTTTTTTTTTGGTACCGGGGATCAAACTCACAACTTTGAGCTTGCCAGGCAGGCGCCGGTGCCACTGAGCTACATCCCCCGCTGGGTTTTCAATCTTTCAACCTCTGTTTATCCACAACTGCAGCAAATTCCTGAGCAGTTTCTCAAGCCCAGCTTTTAATCTTTACCCCGCCTCCCCTCCCCAAGATACAGGAGACTGAACCTAGTGTCTGAGAACTGAGCTATATCTTTCATTCCTTTTTATTCTAAAAAAAGGTCTCACTAAATTTCTAAATTGCCCAGGCTGGACTTGAATTTCCAGTGCTGGGATTAGAGGTATGCAAGGCGCGCACCATCATGCCAGGTAAGCACCCATCCCCCCTGCAAGCACTTTTTTCTTTGCGTTACTTGGGATTGAATTCAGGATCTTTATACTGAGCTACATTTTTATTAAATTTTATTTTTAGATAAGGTCTCCCTTATCTAAATGCTGAAGATGCCTCGAACTTGCAATCCTCCTGCTACACTCTCAAAATGGCAGAATCATTGGCAAGTGTGGTGTTTTGCTCCACAACAAGGCAGTTTTTTCCAGTTTTCCTCATGCGCACAGCTTGATTTGGGTTTCCGGCTGTTTCCCCCATATAACCGGCCTCTCTCCTCCTCCAGACCTGTTCCAACACGCCCTCCCTGCGCTTATCTAGCAATCTGCAATCCAGAGCGAACTTATGGGGGTGGGTAAGGGGTGGACAGCCAGCATGCACTGGTTCTGCTCCCTTTACCCACAGCAGGATAACCTCTGCTTGCCGCAGCAAGCTTCCCAGTTAGGAAGCCCCGGGGCTGTACCCCGTAGCCCTGAGCTACAGCCCAACAACTCAGCTCTGGGGCCCTGGACCACATGCTTTTTGGGCAGCGATAAAACTTCTGGAATTAAGATACAGAGCTAGAGATGGTTGCACAATCCTGGGAACACACTAGAATCTCCACATAACCAGGTGTAGTGGCGCTCGCTGGAGACCTTGGGAGGCCAAGGCAGGACTGCCGTGGGTTTAAGGCCAGACAGCCACATAGTGAAATGAAGCCCAGATTGAACTACATAGCAAACTAAAATAGTGAATTTAAGCCAAGTGTCGTGGCACATTCCTGTAATGCCAGCATTCTGAGATACTGAGGCAGGAGGAATGCAGGTTTGAGCCCAGTTTGACAATTTATCCAAGTTTTATGTTTAAAAAAAAAAAAAGAGGTGATGGTCAGGGATGTAATTCAGTGTTTACACTGTATCCCTGGGTTCAATCCTCAGAGAGTTTGTGTGTGTGTGTGTGTGTGTGTGTGTGTAAACTGTGGATTTTATGGTATGTGAATTTTATCTCCAAAAAGATGTTTACCAAGGCATATATAATGTTTAAAGAGATGAACACCGTAGATATCTAACAACAGGGAAATTCAGTGCGATTCTGATGCCTATTTCACTGTAATGTGCAAATCACTTGTTTGCAAAGCCGAATAGTAAGGTTTTCACCCCCAAAATGAAGTTCAGACATGGTCAAAGTAAAGAGAAAAAACAGAAAAATAGATTTTCTGTTAACACTCGTTTACTAAATACTTCAGGTGGGGTGTGTGCGTACTATTTCCCACCCTGAGCTGATATTTTACCCCTATTTTACAATGAGAAACTAAGGCTAAGAGCGCAAACACAGAGAAAATTATGGCAGTGCTGGAACCGGGATTCCACCCTAGTCGGCCAAACTTCCGGGCCTGCAAACCCACAGGACACCATCTCAACCAATTTCCAAGTATTTAAAATCTGATTTGGGAGTTGTGTGATTTTGTTTTCTCCAGGAAGCTGCCCCATTGTTTTCCTTCCTTTTTGCAGCGCCGTTCTACTCACAACACAATGCCAAGGGCTCGGAGGGTGTGTCGCGGTTTCTCCCGAACCAGGGGCGCCCCGCAGGCCCACGGGACTCTTTAGAACTAGCGTGGAAAGGCTGGCTTCCTCACTAACGCGCAACTCGGAGGGAACAGGAACTCGGCCGGACGACCCACAGTGGGGCACGGCCTTGTGCAGGTGACCGCCTCACCTCGTCCCTTCCTGTCTCGGGTACGGGATTGGGTTCGATTCCAATCTGAACTTTATCGCGCAAAACCGCCTCCAGGCCTGCAGTCCAGCCACTCTCAGGCGCTGGTGGGGCTTCAGCTCCTTTAGGCCACACTTCAGAGTCTGACAGCAGTGGCGACACTCGGAGTCCCCTCCCCCAGCGTGGGAGGCCGAGGAGCCAAGCTCGCAGGACACGCCGGGCTCCACGCCCCGGGACTCCAGGGCCCAGACGGCCACCCACGTCCCACTCAGGCCAGTATTCCACGTGGGCACCCCTGCTCACCCCTTTCCCCGGACGCCCCAACTCCCCCTCCCCCACCTCTGTAAAGGGAGAGTAGCAGCCCCACAACCGACGCCCAGGAACCCCTACGGAGGCACTTACTCACTCAGACGTTGCGTCCTTCCAGACTCCTTCTCGGGCCCAGCTCTGCAGAAGTACGCGTGAGGCGTGGAACGACCCGGAAAGACCGAGTTGTGGTGTCAGCCAATTAGGTGCGCACGTTTTTGTACTTTCGCAGCCGATAGGGCTACAGTGACCTGCTCTGCCATCTTATTGGGTAAAACTTCAGTCTGTCAACGTCAATAGGCGAGCTCTTACGAGCGGGAGGGGCTTGAGGCTTCGGCTCCGCCCTGGCCTGGTTGCTTGAGGGCCCGGGCGCGAGGCTGGGAGTAGAATCTGGTTCCGTCTCTTTTTTGCGGCTGCTCCCTGACCCCTGAACTAACGCTGAAATTTGGGAGAGAGGAAAGAATTGTGTTCTAGAAAGGCCAAAGGAGGCTCCGAGATGAAGGAAACAGACGTCTGTTGACAACCGGGCAGTGACCTTAGGTGGCTGACCCTGGCTCTTCGTGGCTCCTAGGAGACTCCGGTGTTCTCGGTGTTGGATCTACTTGTTTTCTACTTGCTGCGTGCCCTCAGCGAGACACTTCCCTTCTCTGTGTATTCTCTTGTCACAGGCAATTGATCTAATGCTCTGATAGCCTCTCCAGCCCCAAGTTTGTTCATACAAACATTTCTGGAATGATCTGCGTGTGCCTGTTGCTAGGTATCAGCCGGCAACCATTTTCTCAACAAGGAAAATGGAAGCCTGTGATGGCACATGGGTCAGAAGTGACAGTTTGTGAGGGGAGCTGGATAAAACAGGCCAGGCTTGCTGTGGGCCACTGGCAGGCCTGACATTGTCTTGTGCCCTGTTATCCCAATCCCTGTGAGTGGCTGCACCCATCAGAAACGAGGTCGTTGTGTTTACTGATTGTCCCTATTGAAGGTGTTGCAATCAATAACCATTTACAAATATGTGCCCGCTATGGAGTAGAACTAGCTGAGGAGAAAAATGTGAGAAGTGAGTATAGTCAGAGTAGGACAGACACTGTAATCTGGGTGGACAAGGCAGGAATCCTGTATAAGCAGTAAATGGGACTAATGGAAGGAAATCCTTGTAAACAAAGGTGACTGGGGGCGACAATGCAGAATCTCAAAGGCAGGGAAAGAATAAGCAGTGGGGGCTCTGAGATCCCAGAGCTGTGAAGCTGCAGCGCTGAAACTGTGCTTGGAAATGACACCCAGGTGTGAGTAGGAGAATAGCAATCCTGTGAAAGGTAGCCAGGGCCAAGCTAGGGAGTTGACACCTGGGACTAGAGGGAGCAGAGATGGAAGACATTTCAGAGGGAGAATCGGCAAGATTTGAACTCTGGGAGGAAGAAAACAGGATTCCATTCCAAAGAGCTGTAATCACTGGAGGAAGTGGGGAGGAGGAGCTGGCCTGGGGCTTGCTGAGTGAGTGAATGCAGTCAGCCAGGGCTCCACTGGGCCAGGTGCAGCCCCCTCCTAGGGAACAGTAAGGAGGAAAGGTGAGGTGAACACTGGGTATGCCTTGGAGGCCTGAAAAGGCACAGAGGAAAGGATAAAGAACTTTTGTAAATCCAGGTACAAAGGAAGCTTGGTCTCATGCAAATCAGGTAGCATATCAGCCTCAGTTTCCTTCCTGGTAGACTGAGATATATATTTGTGACTAGAGAAACTCCTTTTGTGCGTGCGTGAGACATGGCTCACTGTGTAGCCCATACAGGCCATAAAGTCACTGTTCTCTTGCCTCAGCCTCCCAGTGCTGCTGTAGAAGTTGTTCATTTTAAGAGGCTTGCAAAAATAAATAAATTAAAGTAAATTAAAAATCAGAACATTACATTTCTTTGCAGGGGATTTAGCTCAGCAGTGTAAACACCTGCCTGGCAAGCACAAGATCATGAGTTCAATCCCTGGTACCAAAATAAATAAAACCCCAAAACCAGTGAGACCTGTGCATGTGTTGCTAATGAAACTAGAATGCTTGTCAAGTTCCATCATAGACACTAATCCAAACTATTAAAGTGCTAAATTCTCTCAGTCCAGAAAAAAAAATCCTCTATATCAGAATTTGGTAGGATTTTTTTGTTGTTGTTACTGTCATTGTTGCTTTTTGTTTTGGTAATAGTGATTGATCCCAGCTCTTTTAAAATTTTGAGACAGGGCTTGCCAAGTTTTGAAGGCAGGAATCAAATTTACAGTCCTTCTGTCTCAGCCTCCTGAGTGCTGAGATTTTAAATGTGTGCCACCACACCTGGCTTCAGTGTTATTCAGGAGTGTCTGAGGGATGTGTCTGGGTCACCAGAAATCTGGATCTAAAGTAATTCTCTAGCCCCTTCCCTAACCTGCATTAAATATCCCACAAAATTCTCTTAACTCCTTTGTATGATTATATTGCAGGGCAAAGGGGACTTTCCCTCCACCTATTGAAGGTTCAGTTTAATTAACCGCAGTGAAATAACCTATTAAAACTCTCCAGCATCCCTTTCATGATATATTGCAGGAGGAAAGGGAAATTTCCTTCCGCCCTATGGAAATCTGATTTAATTTGAGTTGGTGAAAATGAACTGACGATAGACAGAGTGACAGGAGAAAAGGTATCCAAAGGTACTATGTGCATGAGGGCATCACATAAAGAAAAGGGGAAGTTTTTGTTTATAGAGGAGAGAGATGGGGAGTTTAGGTGCCATAGGGAAAGTAAATTATTTCTGGAAAGAGGGATGGGGACCTTCAGAAGAAAGGTAACAGAGTTTGAGATCAAGGTGTAGTTGGATGTATGTTTGACTTTTAGGCTCTACTCTGTGATGTGAGCCTCATCTTTCTTGCTGATAAAATTGTAGGGAAGAGACTGAAAGCATTGCATTCTTTCCTTCCTTCCTTCCTTCCTCACATTCTCTTTTCTTTTCTTTCTTTCCTTCTTCCTTCCTTTCCTTTTTTTTTTTTTTTTTTTTTGAAGGATCTAGGCTTTAGGTAAAACAGGGAACTTCAGAGAAAAAACTTTTCCAACATCTACTTATTCCCAAGTACTGTTGATTTTTTTTTTCTTTTTTTTTTTCCGGAACCAGGGATTGAACTCATGACCTTGCACTTGCCAAGTAGGCACTTGCCAAATATGCCACTGAGCTAAATCCTCAGTCCCCGTACTGTTGGTTTTAAATAATCAGTATACCACGGTACCATAGTTTGGGTAACTATTCCCTAGAGTCCTTCAACATGTTCAACAAAATACTGATGACTGACTCCACTGCTGGGATTTTGGAAAAGAGAGAGTCCTGGGTAAAGGGGAAGAATGTTCTAGATGCCAGGAAGCTATACGTTCCATTAATAATGAACCTCTTATACAGTACTAGTATATGTATATGGGTAGACAAAAGCAAATCTTGTCCAAAATAACTGATAACAAAATGTTGGAACCACAAACTCTAGGATGAGACTTGTGCCTCCACAATATTAGCCCTTGTTGTCTAGTAGGCTGACCATTGTGACAATTAATAATGCATGCAGAAAATTTAAACAGAAAAGCATACAGTGAAAAAATATCCAAATTAACTAGGACAAATCTATTCTTTAAAAAAACTACCACTAATATTTGGGTATCCTTTTTTCCTCTAAAGATATGTGTGTTGTACCTGTTTATAGAGTTCTTTAACTCACTTTACAAATATTTATTGAGTACTTTGAGTGCCAGGCTTGATGTAGGTGCTGAGGATGTAACTTTTAAAAAAAAAAAATCGGTACTAGGGATCGAACTCACGACTCTGCACTTGCAAGGCAGGCGTTTATGTCACAGAGCTAGATCCCTAGCCCCAACTTTTTTTTTTTTTTTAAAGGAAACTTTTTGAAACCATCACAAACTAATAGGATAGTTTCAGCTATTGAATTTTAATTTCCTTTCCTGAGGGTAAATACTAATTTGAAGGCCTGTTACTCTGTATTTTCTATGAACATGGATTTTCTCCTTTTATTTCAAGTATAACCATCAAAATCAAGAAATTAAAGATATAAGGGTGGGGATTTAGCTCAGCGGCATAAGTGCCTGCCTTGCAAGCAGGCAGTCATGAGTTTGATCCCTGGTACCGATAAAAATGAAAAAAAGACAAAAAAAAAAAAAAATTAAAGATATAGGCCTCCACCATCTAATCCCTTTGCGTATCACACATTGTTCCTCAAGTTTTCATTATGTCAAAGTCTCCAGTTCTAAGTCACATGTAATATTTAGTTACTTTTCTCTCTGACTCCTTCAGTCTCCTCCTCTTCCTCCTCCTTTTTTTTTTAGGCAGCGCCTTATTACACAGGCTAGTCTGACCTAGAACTCTTGATGTAGCCCAGGCTGGCCTTGAACTCATGATCCTCCTGCCTTAGCCTCCCGAGTGCTGAGATTACAGGCACATGCTGCTATGCCAGATTTATTATGCTTCTTATATCTCCTTCAATCCAGAAAACATCCTCAGTCTTTTGCTTTATTTTTAAAAAATTTGCACTAGTATCTGCTAAGTCACTAAATTGCCCAGGCTTGGTGTGAACTTGTGATCTTCCTGCCTCAGCTTCCCAGAGTTCTGGGCTTGCATGTATGTGTCACCATATCTTTATCTTAGTTTTTAAAATTCTTATTTCCATGATTTTGCTACATTTTTTTTTTCTTTTGGTACTGGGGATCAAACTCATGACATCGTGTTTTCCAGGCAGGTGTTTGTGCCACTATCTCTGGCCCAATCTTGCTGCTTGTGAAGATTACAGAACAATTAATTGATAGAATATCCCTCAATTTGGACACTCAATTTGGTTTGTCTAGTGTTTCCTTGTGTTTAGATTCCAACATCTTGAGTAGGAAAATCAGACTTCCACAGGTAGTTTACTGGGTAATACATCATTTTGATTTGTTCTACTATGAATCACGTTAACTTTGACTTCTTTGTTAAGATGATGTTTAGCTGAGCTTCTCCTATGTAAAGTTATTGTTTTTTCTTTTATGGTCTCTTTGAAGCAGGGTCTCACTATGCAGTTCAGGCTGGCTTACGCTCACTTGTTTCCCAGGCTGCTCTCAAACTCCCAGCAATCCTTCTGCCTCAACCTCCTGAATGCTGGGATTATAGGTGTATGCCGCCATGCCCAGCTGTAATTCTTTTAATTTAGGAAACTAATTCTAGGCTCAC